TTAGACATTTTTTCTGTTGATAATTCAATAGAAATAGTTGAAGACATAAATTTAACTTTTTATCTTAATTTCTTTTATTCCAATTCCATAAGAATTTATTAATAATCAGTTACATTAAGCACTCCGAAATATGTGTTTTCTGAACAAACAATAGTAGCGGCTCTAGGTTTCTTATTTAAAATACCTAATTCACCAAAAACTAATCCTGATCCTATAAATAATAAATAAAAAAAATATTAAATTTTTTATATGGATTAAAAGTCTTTTGTATTGATTTAATTATTAATAATAAATCTGGTTTTTTAAAAGAGTTTTTATTATATATAAAATTTTGAATTTTAATTAAAAAATCATAATATTAATTATAATTTGAATATTTTTATTTATTAATATATTATTTAAAATTATAAAAACCTAATGTAATAGCATGATGGTATCTAAAAGTATTTTTTTCATAAAAATGAGCTGCATTTTCCAAAATTTGCAAGTCTAATTTTGGTATTGTTTTTTTTAATTCTTCATTTTTTAAAGTATAGAGTTAATTAGCTTATTTTCCTCCCAACATAATATTATTATTTTATTTGATTAATTATCTTTTATCATAACATTAATAATAATAATATGATTGTTTATAAGGAGAATTTTTTTATTAATTATTACTTTATTAAAAGTCAGAGATAATATTACTTTAAATAAGATTAGAACTGGAAGAAGAGTCATTTTCAAAAATAAGCTAATTTGCTAAAAATTAAGAATTTTCATATTTACTACTTATTGAATTAGCCTAAGAAAGTTATTTTTATTAATTTTTTGAATTAAGTCTTTATGAATTATAATAATTTTAATAATTAAGAGATTTTAACTTATCTATTTCTTTAATTTTAAATTTTTGATGTTTTATTTCTTCTGTCTATTTATCTATTTAATTTTATTTAATTGAGAAATCGAAATTTAATTTGTTATGTATTTATTAGTTTATTTCTTTTTGAATAATAAAACCTTTGTATAATGTTTTTATAAAAAGCAAAACTATTTTTATTATTTTTATTCTTCTCTAAAATTATTTAAAGATAAGAATTTTTCTGAAATTTAAATTGAATTTTATATTTATTTTTTTATCGTTTTTATTTAATTATTATTTTGGTAATTATAGTGTTTATTAGTCTTTTATTTTTTGTTTAATAAGAATGCAAACTTCTCCTAAAAATTTTATGAATTTTATTATATAAAATATGTAAATAAAAAAACCTTTTATTAAAATATAAAATTTATCAGGAATATCTCCTTCGTAAAACACAATTCCTCCCTTTTTTACATATTTAAATTTCATTATTTTACATAGAGTTTAATGAATATTATTTTAAACGAAAGATTTTTTCTATAATAATTTTTTAAAAAAAATCATTTCTGAAGTAGCCTTTTAAAGTATATTTAAATCTTCACTATTTCTAAAAGAATATAAATAAATATTTTTTATTAAAAGTACCTTTATTCACTCTTTTTATATACTAATATCCTTAAAGCTTTATCAGCAATTGTATCTAATTTTAAAGTACTTTTATCTTTAGATACTTTTTAAAGTTTTTCTTATAACTTTTAATCGATAATTTTTTAATCAACTTCAGGTTTTAAAGATGACATTTTTCTTGATCTCATAGCAAAGTTGTTCTAAAAAGATTAATATAAAATATTATTATGGTTTGAAGAATCTAATGTTATATTAATTCTGGAAGAAATATTTAAATGGTCCTAATCAAGTTTAAATGCAAAAGCTTTTCTTTTTTCTTAACTTTAATTTAATTCTAATATATTTATTTAATTTTAATTATTTTAAATATTATTAGAATTTTTTTTATTTAATTTATTTTTTAGCTGTTATTCTTTGATTGTATCTGCTAACTTTTTAGGTTATGTCATCTTTTACATAATATTAATTATTCGAACTTTTTTCTACAAAAAATTATTAAAATATTGTGCTTTTTCTGAAATATCTTATGATTATTTATATTTTTCAAATAAGCTTTTTGGTTGAATTAAATTATTTTATTATTCTTCTGTTTCGACAGGAATTTTTTTATATTTATTAGATTAAACATTTTTGAGAGTTTAAAATAGATTTTCACTCTCTTCAACTTGATATAAATCTATTTCATTCGAATCTTCTCTATTTTAATTTTTTTTTTTATGATTATTGTTTTTTTCAATTTTTTTTTTTTTTAGTACTTTAATTTTAAGGAATTATAAATGCTCATGTTTTATAATTTTATTATATAAATAAATAAAAACGTTTATTAAAAAAAATTAAAATTTATTAAAAAATATTATAAAAAAAAAAAAAAAAAGTAAATATATTAAAAGCAATAATACCTAAAAACATCATTCATTAATACAATCCATAGTTTTATATATAATCAAAAAGTATTTTTATTAAAATCTATTTCAAAAAAAAAACGAATAAAATTATCCTCCTTAAAATAGATTTTCTAAAACTATTGATAATATTTTTTTATTTTAATTAAAATTATAACAAACAATTCAAATTCATTAGAGTTAATATATTATCTTACTAAATTATTTTATAGTCTTAAATTAATTAAATTTCTTTCTTTTTTTATTTTAATAATATAATATAATATCAATTAATTTTTATAAAAAATAAAATTGTATAATAAATATAATTATTATCTGCCTCAAAAAAAATAATAGTCTTTAATTTATTTCAACTATATTTTTCTTTATATTTTATTTTTTAGCCGTTTATTTAAAAAAACAAAAAAACTAATCAATATATATTTTTAAAAGTTTGTGATTAACATTATATAAATATAATATGTAAGGATTTGAAAAGAAATCCATATTTGAATTTCTATGTATTTTTTTAAAAAATTATATAATATATATTCATTCTAATTAATAATTATTTATAAGGAATAGTATTTTTGGTTATATAATAATGAATTTTTCAAATTAGTTATAAATTTAGTAGAATTCTGTTTTATATTTAATATTATTTATATAATTATATGTATTTATTATTGATTTTATAATACTTTTTTTTCAATATATATTTCATATTCGAAAGTTCAGTTTTTTATAAAATATAATATATATTTGATCAATGGGATTTAGATAAAAAAAATAACAAACAATATTTAATAAATATATTGCTTAAAAGGATTTGGATTTTTGTATTGTTAATTTAACATAAAAAATTATTGATTAGGAAAATATTTTTTCATATATTTTTCAATTTAAGACTAACTAATTGTCCAATCCTTCCCATAAAAATAATATATTTTAAACATTCTGCTTGTAATCAATTAAAACTATTAAATTTTGGTATATATATATTATTTTTTTTTGATTATTTTATATAGCTTTATTATAATATAAATATTATTTTTTTAATTTAAAATATAATCAATATATTGATTGATAAAATTAAATAGAATGTTTTAGTTAATTTTTCTTATAAAATTACTACTATTTTAAAAACTTATGAGATTTATTATATGTATTTTTTTAAAAAAATTGATTTTAAAAGTTTAATTAAAAGCATTTTAATTCATTTTTAAACAGTTTATTTAATTACTTCAGGAAATTAGGTGCTTTTAATATAGACAGCCTCTTTTATATTTATATATTTTAGTGAGTAAATATGGATATTCTATAATATGTTTATAAAGAATATATGAAATATATATTTATCCTTCGTATAAGTAATTAAATTATAATAATATTTCTTATTAATTGGAATTTAGAAATTCACTCATATTAACTTTATCTCATATTTTTTTGTTAATTAAATTGTAAATTGCTATAATTGTTAGTTTTTTTTTGTCAAACTTTTTATTCCTTAGTATTTTTTTTTTAGAATATATAAATAAATTTTGTATGTATTTAAGATAGTTGTATAATATCTATTTTTTAAAAATTACATACTAATGCATGCATAAAATGTTATAATTTTAATAAAAAATGACTCTTCATAATATTAATTAGTCATAAATAAAATTAAGGAGGGTATCCTCTGTATAAATATGTAAACTGAACTTCTTCTAAAAGCTTAATTTACTTAAAACCTTTTTAATTCTATATTGTATTTTAATCTATATTAAAAAAACAATATTAATAAAAGCTAATTTTTTTTTAAAAAAAAAGTATATACTATAAATTCACAAGAAATTAAAAAAAAATATTCAAAACATATAAAATAAATAAATAAATACATATCATATTTGATATTAAATAATTTTTAATTGTTTTCTATCTCAAAAAAAATCATTAATTTTAATAAATAATTATTATTTAAATAATTTTTTGGAAGATATTCAAATTTAAACTATTCCGTATTTAAATAATATTTGTCATATAGTAAAATTTCATTTCAAAAATTAAACAAAACAAAAAATTTAAATAAAAAAAAAAAATTAAAAAAAAACTAAAAATAAAATATAATTACTGAAAAATAAATTTAAAAATGATTATTGCTCTGAATATTAATATTTATAATACACTGTTATAACTCAAGCTAATTAAATTATTAAAGGAATCAAAAATTTATTGAATAGTCTATCAAACTAGGTAATCATTTACGAATTCAGAATAATATTATGTTTATTAACTATTCTAAATATAAATAAAAATATTTTTTAAAAGTTATGAGCTCTTATGATTCTTTTATATTTTCGATTTTTTAATTTTTTTAAATTTCTAATAATTATCTTCGAAAAAAATGCCACTTATAAAATATTCCACATACGAAAGAAATAAGATGTTATTTTAATTTAAAAAAAAAATAGTCATAAACCCAATATTTTTTTAAAAAAATATTTGCGTATATTTAAAATTTATTAAAATTAATAAAATAATATTTTTATTTATTTAAATTTTTTTATTTTTTTAATTAAGATACCTTCTTCCCCCCTTTAAAATATTTTTATTAAAAGGATTTACGGTATATTTATATATATATATATATATATAAAAATAATAATGACATTGACTTATATAAAAAAAGATAAAACAACAAAAAATAAGCATATTCACTTTTTTTAAACTAGGCCCTTAGCTTTTGGAAAGTTTTCTTCTTCATTAGCCAAAGTAGTATTTTTCTTTCCACTTTGGGGTCTTTTAGAGGTGCTTTACATTTTAGAGGTTGGTCTTTTTTTGGTACTTTTTTTCTACATTTTTTTGCCTTCTCTTTGTTCAACTTCTTCTACTCTAACAATTCCATCATCAGTATACATGTAAAACATATTAGGATGTCCTTCTTTTTCTAATTCAAGAATTTCTTTAACATCCTGTTATTCATATTCATTATCTTAGGCTTGTTATTTAATTTTTAACATGTTTCCAGATAATTCAAAATTAGGAAAAGTCCAATTATCTAAATCTTATCTAAACATAGCTTTGGTTTATAATCTTTTAATTTCTTTTTCAGGTATAAAATACTACAAAATAAGATTTTTCAATTTTAGTTCTTTCTATAAAGCCCTATGCCTTACTTATAATTCTTCTATTTCTTAAGCATAGAATTCTTCTAACTCCCCATTTTCACTTTCTATTTGTTTTAACCTTATAATTAAATCTTTTATTCTTTTAGTTTTATCATCTACTTCTTCTTTACTATTTTTATACCTGCGATCCATTTCCATTGCCATTTCTTCATTTTTTCGAATTTCTTAAGCCATTTTTTGCTATTCATTTCTCGTTTCTTATATTTTTTATTATGCACGGATTAACTCTCTTTCCTTTTCTAGGGCTTATTACATTATTTAGTCTCCTTATATAACTTTTTCTTCCATTTTTTGTATTTTCTTTAATAATTTCTCTCTTTCTTCTTGAATATGTTATTCTTTTTCTTCTTTTTCCTTCAACTATTAAATTAATTTCATTTTTTAGTGTTCTTATAGTTTCTTATCTTCTTCTATATTTTTTATTTCATCTTTTATTTTTTTCTCGAATTCTTATTTATCTTAATTTAACTTATCTTAAATACTTTAAATTGTTTCATCATCATTTACATGTATAACTTTTTCTACCTGAAATAAATATAATTAAATTATTATTTATAATAAAATATTAATACTTGAATAATTTCTGCTTCAATTTAAGTATTACTATCAACAGATTAAGCTAATTATTATTTAAGTCTATTTATTTCATCTTAAAATTATCTAATCATTGCATCCTTAGGATCCTCATTAATTTTTGGTTTATTTTAAATCGATTTAGCTCTATGAGCATATCTTAAAGTACTTATTGTTTCATCATAATTATAATCAGCAGGGCCTTTTAAAAAAAAGTAAATAAATAAATTAACAAAGAAATATTACCAACATTAGCAACCATAACAGTTTTAGTATTACCACCAAGCGAATCTTACAAGAGTCTAGTTAGTTTAGAATCTCTATAAGGAATATGAGTAGATTTAGGATCAATAAGAGAAGAAATGACATTACCTAAAGTAGTTAAACTTTAATTAATATTAATAGCTTCTTTCAATCTACTTCCAGTTGCTTAAGTTTTATTCTACCTTTCTGAACCTGCAAGATCTACCAAATTAAGCTTACCTACTCTAATATGGCTTTCTCCACTATCAGTTTAGTCACATCTTTCAACAGTAATAGAAAAAATAGAATGAGATCTAGATGAATCTTGGTTCATTTATGTTGCCCCTACTGATCTATTCTCTCCTCCTTACATTAATTTTTCATTCATTTCTTATGGATCTTAAATCATAAATGTGGAAAGATCCTTTACGTAAATTCCACTACCTGGTTTTTCCCTCAGTTCGAGTTTTTTAATATTCTTTTGTAGTAAATCACGTATTTCTTCATTATATAGTTCCAAATAACTAACTCTGACTAAAAATTAGACATTAGGAGTACCTTTTATTACCTTGAATATATGCTCAAATGTACGAGGAATTATACCTCTTTAATCTTTAGGGTTATCTTTTCCTTCCATTGTATGTGTTTTACCTGTACCTGTTTATCCATAAGCAAATATTGTGCCGTTATAACCTTCCAAAACACTTTCTACTATAGGATAGGCAGTTCTCATATATACTAATTCTTATTTTACATCGGGTTCAAATGTATTATCAAATGTAAAAGTTTTTTGAGGCTCTGATGGATCTCCTTTAGGGTTGATTACTTGCATTTCTCCTCGGTTTTGATTTACAAATACTATCTGTTTACGATCTTCATCAAGTTCTTTTTTACTTAATGGACGACAACGTACTACGACTTTAACGCATTCTTAACTTTTTGACATTTCTAATTTTTTTGTTTTAAAATATATTTTTATTTTGACTTTTTAAAATAATTTCCTTTATTATTATTTTTTTATTTTAAATAGTTATTTTGATTTATGTAAGATATTGTATTTTTTAGAAATTATATATAGTTATAAAGTTATAATGAAAATAATTTTTTGTTTATATTTAATGGATAATAAATATTTTAGTTCTCATATATATATTCAAATAGAAGTTATTTTTTCATATTTATTGTATTAATATATTTTTTGTATTATTTTAAAGTAATATAAAAAAAATATTACTATTAAACATAGTTTAAGATGGAAGGAATTATGAGAAGTGTATAACAATTATATAGTTAAAAAATTATAAATGACTTCATAATTAGTTAAAAATAATGTTATTTTTTTATTTAAAATATATTTTAGTGAGAAATTTAAAAAATATTAAATGCTAATATTTAATAAAGAATACATATTGAATATGTTTATTATTTTAAAATTTTATTTGCTAAAAATAAATAATGTTTTTTTAAAAAAAATTAATTAAACTTTTTGAAATTTTATTTATTTTTAAAAAAAGTTTTGTCTTTCATATTTTTTTAAAGATTATTATACAATTTTTTTTTTTTATATTATTATACATTATTATAATTTTTTTTTTAATTCAAATGTAATCAATAAAAAAAAACATAATATTATTTTTATAAAATACAATTTAAATAAACTAATATAATCATTTAAATACAAATAAATAATAATGATTATTTATAATTAGAATAATAAAAACCATTTATAGTTAAATAAATCTAAAACTTCCAGATAGAATTTAAAAAGTGTTTAAAATTTAAGTTTATGTGAAATTATGAAAAAAACAAACTAAGTTTTAAAAAAAGCAAGAAACAACAGTTTACATTAGAACAATAATAAATAAAATTTCTAAGATAATATATCTGATAAAATTGTAAAAAAAAAAAAAAAAAAAAAACTAAATGAAACTAAAACAATTTAAATTAATAATTTAATGAATAAAAATATAAAAAGAATACATAAATTAGACATGAAAAATAAGAATAAAGTTATAAATAAAACAAATAAGAGGAAATACCGTTTATTAAATCAAATAAAACAATACTTTCGAAAATAGATTCATTTTTTGATAATTTTAATGAATTAGTAATTATTAAATATAATACGAATAAAAAGTTATTTAATCAAGATTAAAATTCGTGTAAATAATCACTTTTGAATTTTTTAAAAATTATTTCAGACGAAGAGAAAAGTTCACATACTATTAAGTCTTAAAGTTCATCTTAAAATATAAAAAAAATATCTTTAAAAGATACAAAAACAAATGATTAATTAAAATTAAATCTTGAATAATATCTAAAAAACTATGAATAAAAACAAACACAAAATAAACATAAAAATATGTCTTTAGCTTATCCTCCATTACCAGTTCAAAGAAAATTTAATTATATTCTAAATAATTAAGCGAATAAATTTGGATAAAAAATAGTAGATATTAAATAATAATAATAATAATAATAACATCAAAAATATTAAAATAATGAAAATCTCAATAGTACAAATTTTAATAATAAAAATAGATCAATTAGTAATTATTATATAAAATCTATTCCAGATGTAAATTAATCTTATTCTAATATTTTAACTAAAAATAATGATTATTCGAAATTTATTTCTAAAAATAATAACGATTCTATTATTATAAATATGTAAAATAATTCTTTTTTAAATTAAAATAATGAATCTCTTTCCAGAATTAGAAATCATGAATATAAATATATATAAAAGACTAAAGAAAATATAAGTTTTAATAATTACATCAAAACAAAATAAAATATACGAAATAATTTAATTTAAAATAAAAGTTACTAATAATATAAAGATTTTGAAAACAAAATACCTGTAAAATAAGATTACTATAAAATTTGAAAAAAATGAATTATAAATATATATATATATATATATATATAATATTATAATCTGCAAATATATACTAAATAAAAATTAATTTATATAAATTATAATTATAAAATTATGTTTATTTCACAATTATATATTTAAAATATATTTTAATTTATTTAAAAGCAATTTTTTTTTAATTTCAAATTGTTTCTTTACTTTCTCTTTTTTTTTTTTTTGTTCCTTTTAAAAAAATACATTCTTTTTAATATTAGAGCTTTAACTTCTTACAACTGAACTAAAGCTTTCATTTCTTATTTTAATTAATAATTTATACATATCCTTAAATTTTCAAAGTATAGGTTATTAAATTTTATATTTTTAGATTATGAATGTGTTTTTTCATTTTATTTTAAGAATTTTAAAATTAAGGAATTATTTTGTTTTTTATTTGGCTATTTTTATTTAATATTATATCCAATTTATTAGCTGTTTTCACTTTTATTTAATCTGCATCTTTCTGTTCTTGAAATTTTGGATTACTGATATTATTATTCCTGTACATTTATTTTATATTCATTTTATTATTTTATTAATATAAACTATTATTCATATAGTTTCCATTATTAAATTTACAAATCTTTTTATTATGATTTAATTTTATTTAATTGTTTAAACTATAATTAGTAGAAATTTAATATATATACTAAATGCAGTTACTGAGATTTCTGAATTTTAAAGAAATAGATTGATTAAAATATATTTAAAGAAAATTAAATTATTTAAACACAAATAAGTTTATTTTACTTAATTATAATTTAAAATACTTATTATTATTAATTCATTATATGTTATTGTTTAAGAAAGTTTAAAAAAAAAATTAGAAGAAAAATAAGATATTTTATTATAATTTACAATATGATAGTAAAATACAAAATAAATTTTTTATAAATATAATATATATATAAATATATATATATATTTAATATTTTATAAATTTTTATAATCATATATATATTTTTTATATATATTATTATATTATATATTTCGTTATTTTTATTCCTATAATTTAGTAAATTCAGTTTTATTAATAAAAAATCATTTAATATTTTTATATACTCTGTTTTTATTTATTATAGATTTAAGTTAATTTTAAATTTTTTTTTTTTTTTAATAATAATAATTTTTTTTTTTTTTTGCTTAGAAATATTATTTTTATAATCATTATAATTATTATTTAATATTTTTATCAAATATAATAAATATATTTGTATTTTTATTAAATAATTTATTTGCATTATATTTATTCAGATTTTTTTGTTTCTTCATTTTATTAAAAAAAATTAATTGAAAATTTTAATAATAATAATGTTTATCATAAACTGTATAATTTAAGATTTTTGGTATTACTCATTATTTAACATTCATTTTATCAACACATTCTATTAATGGTTTTTATTAATTTCTGTTTTAACATTTTTTCTTAATATCTTAATTTGCACATTCAAAGCATTAACCCATTTATTAAAATAATAAAAATAATAGAAATATTTAAAAAAAAAGATTTCTAAATGCTAAATGATTTTTAATTAAATTAAAGAAATAAAATTTATATTATATTATAATAACTAATTAAATAATATAGTTAAAGCCTATATATATTTTTTATTTAATATTTATAATATAATAAGTCAATATTATTTATATATATGAATAAATTATATTCTTAAGCATATTATAAAGATATATTTTAATTTGATTTTTTTAACATTTTAATTTAACTGATAATATATTTAAATATAAAAAAATTGATTATAAAATTAAAATAATATTTTTTAATAAATATAATTTATATATAATATGTTAATGAAACACTGTAAATATAAAGTATTTTCATAAATTTTAAATTAAATTATTATATATAAACAATTAATATTATTCTAGACGTAAACGGCATATATATATATTTAGAAAATACTATTATATTTATTAAGTTAATATTAATAATTTATATTCTATTAAACAAATAATCTATATCTTAATATAATTATTTAGTATTTCTTAAAATAAAAATTCATCTAATATATATTTATTTTCATCATTAAATATATTTACAATTCTAATTATTATTTAAAAAAATATTTTTGCTTATTTTCATAAAATATAATTTTTAAAAATATATTTATTTTTAATTTTAATTTTAATTTTAGTATTTATTATTCTTTATTTAATAATTTCTTTTACATCTTTATATCAAAACTTAGCTATTTTAATGTATTATTCTCATTTTTAATATTATTCAAGTGTTTCTATTAATATCTTAATTACAATAATAAAATATTTCTTATTATTAATATATTTTTATTTATATTTTTAATTTAATTATAAAATTTCTATACAATCCCCTTAGTATAATAACTTTTATATTATATTATACATTATTTTTAAAAATGAATTCTAATTAATTTAATATTTCTAATATTTAAATATTATTTATAAATTATATTGGATTAATTATTTTAAACCTCTCATTTAATTTATTTATTATTATTTTGTTATGATATAGTATATCTTATGTTTATATAATTTATTTATGTAAGTATTAATTAAAATACAATAAATTTAATATATAAAAAATTGAATTAAGAGCTTAATAAAAATGTATAACAAATATATAACTTTATTAGAATTCAAATATATATATTTGATAAAAATTAAAAATTAAAAACTTTTATTTATACAAAAAAAATTTATAATAGTTTCTTGTAAATTTTATATAAATTATTTAAATAAATAATATTATATATATATATATATATATATTTTTCTTATAAATTTTATTAATTAAATAATTTAATTTTTTTTACTTTTTTTTAGTTAGAAATCAAATAAAAATTTGCAAAACTTATTTTCTATAAATATATATAAATATATAAATAAATATATATATATATTTTCATTTTCATTTTTATTTTAAAATAATTTATATAATATTCTTTTAATAATTAATAAATTTAAAGAAAATATTTTAATTTTCTTTTAATTTTTTATTTTAATTATATAAAATAATAAATTTTTAATTTTTAAGAAATAATCATATTTGATATATAATAATTATTTAGTATTTATATTAGCTAGAATGGATAATAATAGTTTAGGTTTTTTTATTACTTTTTACTATAATTTTAGTACATTTTAAACTTTTTAAAATTATTACATTAATCTTTTTTTTAAATATTTGATATATTTTATATTTTTTTTTTACTTATATAATTTAATTGAACTAAAATATTTTTATATTTATCCAAAAAATAAAAAAATATTTAATTAACAAAATTTATGAATTTAAGAAAAACAATATTAATATACTAAAATGACTGTCAATATTGAAATTTTTGTTTACTCAAAAAAATAAAAAATATTCTTTATTTTAAATTTAATGAATAAAAAAAAAAATTGTCAAAATTAAACGAGATCAAATTATATTAAAATTTAAAAATATAAAAATTAATAATTAAGATATAATTAAAAATAAAATATAAAAAAAAACAAAAAAGATTAAAAAAGAAAATAAATGCCTCCCAAAGTTGATCCCAACGAAGTTAGATTTAGTAAATAATAAAGAAAATACAAATATTTATAATAAAACCAAAAAATATAGTTAATATTAAAGTTTTTGGTGGTGAACCCGGTCCTGCTTCCACCTTAGCTCCAAAATTAGGTCCTCTTGGTTTGGTAAAAAATTAATATTTTAAAATAAATAATTACCATAAAAAATAAGAATGCCAAAAAAGTTGGTGAAGATATCATTAAAGCTTGTAGTGATCATAAAGGTATTAGAGTTATGGTTTAACTTAAATGCTAAAATAGAGCTGCTGAAGTTACAATTTTAAATACTTCTTCAGCATTACTTATAAAAGAACTCGGAAAACATTCAAGAGATAGAAAGAAAGTTAAAAACGGTATTAATTTTTTTTTTTTTTATTTTTATTTTTTAAAATAATATATTAAAAATTCTTATAAAATAGTAAAACATAACGGTGATCTTTCATTAGAATAAATAAAAAAAGTTGCAAAAATAATGGAAGCTGATAATAAGTCATTTGCCAAAACATTTGCAGGAACAGTAAAATCAGTTTTGGGGACTGCGTAATAAATTCTAATATTTATATTTTTAAATAAATATAAATATATAGTTAATCTATTGGAGTTACTGTTAATAAGTAACACCCTAAAAAAATTATTGAAGCTATTAATAAAGGAGAAATCAATGTTTGATTAGATTTTATATATGTATTATTAAAATATTTGTTTAAACATATTGTTAAAAATCCAAAAATTATATTTATTTAAACAAATTTTCTATAAAAATAAAGTTTATTTAGTTTTGATTTTAATATTTTTTTAAAATAAAAAAAATTAAAAATTTATTTAAAGTATTTTTTTTTGTTTATTTTTTTCAAATTTTTTTTTTATATTTAAAAATTTTAATTAATATTTTTTAGCAAAAAATTAAGATATATGATTATTAATTTTTGATTATCAAAATAATTTACTTAAATAAAAATTAAATAAGTATTTAAAAAAAATTGCAATATGCAATATTACTACATTTAAAATTTATAAATATTTCTATTTAATCAATATCAATATATATTAATATAACATTAATATTAATCAACTAGATACCTTATTAATAGTAAACTAAATTATACTTAATGATTTATAGTTTCTAAAATAAAAGTAAAAATACTTTCGTTAATTGAGTTTGAAAAAGAGGTTTGCTCATTTATTGGAAGGTGTTCAGCTTTAAAGCTTATTTCCCCTACCCATTTAACATTATTAACTGGAATCATTTCTTTTTTAATATTTTCGATCTTTATAAAATCATGATTTAATACAAAGCCTTCGAATTTAATAGGATATTCTAAATCATATATTTTTAAATTAATAATTAGTTAATTATTGTCTTAAGGGATAATGTATATAAATATTCTATTTTTTAAATAGTCTTTGATTTTTTATTATTCAATTTAAACTTAAGGTTATTTAATCTATTTATTTTTCAAATCAATTTAAATATTTGTTATTTATGTTTTAAAATTATATTGAGGTTTTTATGTATTATTATTGGCATTTTTAACTAAAATATCATCTGATTTTTATGTATAAGGGAGTTGATTTTTATCACATATCATTTCTTTTTCAAATAAATCTAAAGTATTAATATTTTAGTTTATTAAATTCATTTTTAATATTTTGAATTTAATATTTAAATTAAGAATATAACAATTAAATATTTAAAATTTTTTTAAATAAGAAGATTAGAATTTATTTTAAAAAGTAATAAATATTATATTAATTTGTTATTATTAAGAATATATATATATATTATAATTTTAAAACAAAAAATTTATAACTATTTTGAAATTAAAATAATTAATTTATTTATTTTTCTAATAAAAATTATTATTAATATAAAATTTTATATAAGTTAGAAAAAAAAAATAAAAAAATATATATATAATTGGACATCATAATTATAAATATTAACTAAAATTCTTAATCTAATTAATTTTTTATTATATATTTTTTTATTTGAATTCAAGTTATTTTTTACAATCCTAAAGAGTTTTAGGCTTTAATATCATCATAGCTATAATTTACTATGTAGATATATTTTTAAAGTCGTTCCATTTCATAACAAAATCTTCTGTTTCTTCCTATTTTTTTTCAAGTTTTATTTTTTTGCAACCATCTATTTCAAAGTATCATAGACATTATGAATTATAGATCTATCTTAAAGATTAGTACTAAACTTTTCATTGCGCATTTTTTATTTTAAATCTAATTCAGTAATAAAAAAATTAGCTTTTTACATTTCAAATAATAACGATCCTTAAAATCCACTTTCTTTTTAAAGTATTTTTTATTATTTTAAAAGGGATTTTCTTTCAATATCAATACCAGTATTAAAAATATGGCAAACAAGTTAAAACTAATTATAGTATTTAGTTATTTAATTTTTTAAATTAACATTTTTTTTTTTAATTTGCAAATTTTCTGCATTATAATTTAATTTTTTGATTTTTCTAAAAATATTGTATCATTTTATAATGAAACTGTTGAATTATTGATATCTTTTTTTCTACTATTATATACATTAGGAAGTTTTAAATATTAATTTGTTGTTAAAGAAGAGTTTAATGATTATGAATTATTAATTATTGGATGATAAATATAATATTTTTATCTAGAAATATTTGCTTTATATATATTATTCTTTTTTAAAGTTTATTATTGTTTTTCTTCTATCGCTTTTTTAATTGAAATTATTTATTATTAAATTCTTAATGTTTCTTAGCCTTTTAATTGTAAAGTTTCTCTTCTTTCTTAATATACTTAGAATAATTAAATCACTATTTATTCTTCTTTTTTAATATCTAATTATAATGTTTGCATATCTATTTATAGATTTTTTGAAAATAATTTGTAATTTTAAAGCTATTAATAAATGTTCTTTATACTTTCATCATTATTTATTTATTTATCACCGTTTTCTAATTCATTGTAATAAAAAATTATTTTCTTGTTGATATTAATTAATTAATTAAATAATTATTTATATCTTCTTTCTAAAAATTATTTTAATTATTATGTTGTATTATCTAATGTTTATTATAAATTAATTGAATAATCATCTATTTTATTTTTTTATTCATTCGTTTCATTTAATTCTTCATGATATTATTAGTTTGTGACACCATATTTTATTAATTTTACCTCTAAATTATTCGGTTTTTCTACTTCGATTTTTGTTATTTATTTAGGTCTAGGTGTTTAGCTAATTGATTTGTTATTTCTCATTTCTTCGCTTTCATTCATTTTTAATTTTAAGTCTTTTAATATAATTTTTTTATTGAATTATTCTTATTAATAAAAATAATCATTAAAATAAAAACAAAACAAAAAATTATTTATTATAAATAATATTATATTTAATAATTTTTATTTTTCTTTCTTTTTTTTTTTTTAATAAATTATATATATAAATTTTGTGTCTAATTCGAAATATATTCATTTTATTTAGACATTTTTATAAATAATATATCGTATAAACATTTCTTTATAACAAAAATAATTAATATTACTAAAAAAATAAAAAAAAAGATTAAGATTATATGATACAGAAAATAAAAAAAATAAAAACTTTATATAAAAATAAAAATTATTAATATATATTTATTATTATATTCATTTTGCTTTTTATGATTATTTCATCGATTCTAATCTTTAAGTTATTTCTTAGGCTAAAGCGCTACTGCATTATCTGGTATCTCTATTATTAATTTCTTTACAAATTAAGACTGAGATAACTAAAAGCATATTCAATATAGATAACAAAAATACTGAGTCAGATTATTGGTTATCCTATTTATTAATAAAAATAATATTTTTTTAATTTATATTCCCATACTCCAAATGTACTGCTAAATATGTTTTACAAAATATATTTGTATTCAAATAGACTTAAAAATATAATAATTGGACATCCTATTAAAATTGAAAACAAAGAAACTAATAATGATTTAGCTTAAAGCATTTTATTTTTTAATAATAAATTAATTTAAAATTATTAATTTTTATTTTAAAAAAAATAGATATATAAAATTATGTGTTTTTTCTTTTATTATAGTTATTTTATTTAATTACATAAAAAAATTATAATCTATTTTAAGTTAGGTTTATAGTTTATAATTTATTATATATATATTAAAATATTTATATAAAAATTAAATATAAATATATATATAAATATATATATATTTATATATTTATAAATATATATTTTTATTTATATATAATTTAAAACTATATAAGATAATTTTTTATTATAATTAGTTTATTTTTAAAATATACTACAATTAAAAATGATAATTATATCATTGTATTTATATTTATATTTTAAAAATATAATAATTTTTTTTATATTATTTATTAATTGCTTAATATTAAAAAAAAGTGAAAATATTTATAATTTTTATATTTTTATCAAAATATAAAAAAAATATATAATTTCTTTATTTATATTTTTGATTTTATTATAATCTTTTATAAATAGTCTATAAAAAAATAAATATATATATATTAATTTTATTTACATAATAATATTCCCAATTTCCATTTAGCTAAATATTTTTTTCCTTTTTCATAAAATAAACCATTCTTATATTAATATTACTATATATCCATATATATTTTATTTAAATCATAATTAAAAAGTAATTATTTGCTATGATTTTTTTATCGATATTTTACATTTATATTTCTAATTTGTTTATATAATAAAAATATAGATTTTTTTAATTTATACTACTTATTTTTTCACATCTAAATTATTTGTTGTGTTATTTTATTTTAAATTTTTAAATTCATTAACTTATTTATCTAATTCTTAATTTAAAGTTATACTAATTTTAATTTTATTATAATAATTTTAATGTTTTTTTCTTTTAAAGATCTCTAGTTTTTTATTATACTTATTCCATCTATAACTCAAGATTGCTTAGGTTTTCTTAATAAAAATAATAATAGGTATTACACATATAATAAATATGCTGCTTATATATAATAAAACTTTGTTATTAAAATAAATAATATTATGTAAATTTTTATATAATTAATGTAATTATTAATAATAGTTAACAATTTATTGATTTAAATTATAGTTTAAACCAAATAATTTTATTTAGATTATTCTAAATAAAAAATAATGATAAAAAATGCATGATTTTAAGCTCATATTTATAAAAAATGAAAATTAATATATATAATATACAGTTAAAAAAAAAATATTTTTTCACATTTATTAAATATAAAAGAATATAATTATGTATTAATTAATATATAAATGACTATTATATTTTATAAATACATATATATTTTATTTTTAATACTAACAAATAAAATTTTCTTTTTACGAAAACTAATATTTATATAATAGTAAATATAAATGTTAAATTAAAAATATATTTTATATTTAAATATAAAAATAATTTTATTATTTGATAATATATATAATATATAATAGATATATATATATATATATATATATATATATATTATTTATTAATTTAAATTATATATAAATCTTTGTTTAATTTTAAGTGAATTTATTTTCTAAAAAAATATTTTTAAATTAATTTTTTTAAAATACTTTCTTTTATTTTCTTGTACTAAAAAATTAAAAAAATGAATCAAAATATTTATTAATATGAGGACTAAAGATAATATTTAAACCCATTAAAGTATTAAAATTATTAAAATAATATTATATTATTAAAAAAATAGAATAAATAATAATTAAGTTCCATAATAATTTCATTAAAATATAGATTAAAACAATCAATGGATTTTTGCAGAAAGAAAATAAAGATTATTTCATAATAATTCATTAAATAAATTTTAAGAAATATAAAAAAAATAATTATAAAGTAATTTAATAGAGACAGGATTACATGATTGTGATTATATTAACAAAAATTTATATAAAAATGGTTAAATGTTTTATTCATAATAATAATAATAATAAAGATAATAATAATAATAATAATAATAATAATAATAATAATAATAATAATAATAATAATAATAATAACAACAAAATCAATAATTTTAACTAAACCATTAATTTTAATAATCATAATTAAATCAAGCATTCAATAATCCATCAACATAATAAAGATAGAAAATATCTATTAATAATTTAAATAATCAAAATAAATTTGATTCTTCTATTTAACCCTTTTAATAATAATAAAAGAATTCAACTAAATATTTTCCAATTAATTAATTTAGTTTTAATTTAAATAAAAGCAACATAAATAGTTAAATGCTTCCTTTTTTTGATTAATAATAGATTAATAAAGGTTTATATTATTATTATTATTATTATTAATTATTTTAATATATATATTTAGATCTTGAATAAGGAGCAATTTTGAATTTAGAAGACGGATAAAAAATTAATATTTCTAAAGACTAAATAAATGATGTAATAAAAATATTAAGCAAAGATAATTAAACAAAATCCTAAAATTAATAAAATTAACTTGTAACAAGTATTGATTAAGCAAAGTTGAGAACAGAATACTAACTTTCTAATAAATAATTAAGCTAAACATACAAAGGTTAGTATTTTAGTGTTAATTCTGATTATCTTTCATAAAGAATTTTTTCTTACGATAATAAAAGTGAAATTTTTATTCCTTAAAATACACTATAGAAATCAAAAGAAATGAGCTTAAGTTTTATTTCATAAAATAGTAGAAATATGCCTTCTTAAATAAATAAATCATTAAATTTGTAATCAATAAATTAATTGAAAAATATTATAAATGAATAAAAGCAATAAATATTTAATATAACAGTAAGAATAAATAATAACACTAAAAAAAGTTAAATTTAATATGAATATAAAAACTTTATAGTTGAAAATAATATTACTGTAGAATAACTATATAAATATTTTTTCAAAGAAATAAAACATGAGATATGGCATTAAGATATAGAAAATCTAATAAGTATTAGTGTTTTTGCAGATATAAATAAAAAATAATAGGAGTTAAAGTAGGTTTAAAATTTAATTAAAAATTTAAATATATAGACTAATGGAAATATTTATATTAATTTTTATTATTCTGATGGTCCTATTATTAAAAAAGATGAATACAAATGTGATCCAAGTTTTGAATAATTATAACTTTATTCTGAAGAAGAGCTTAAACATATTAAGGATTTTAAAATATGGAATAAACATGGAAGTGTTCATTTTGAGGAAGAGGTGAGTCTGCTTTAACTTAGTTTATAAAAATATATTAATATTTAAGAAAATAAGATTGATATAATAAATGGTTAAAAAGAAGATTTTTAAAAATAAATTATTGTTCATGAATAAATTAATAAGAGAGCATTTTGTATTTTATTTTGTCTGGCTGAATTTATGAAATTAAAAAAATAAAATAATTAATAAATTAATGCTAAATGTATAGAAAGAAGACTTATTAGATAATGTGAATAATAATAAAAAATTGAATTTATAAAATTTGATAATAATACTCTAGAATTTCATTTTAGAGTTTTAGATTGGTTTTGATTTATTTTTTAATCAGTTTTTGTATAAAATAATGACTTTAAAAAATTTATATTCAATAAATAAATTCAAACATTTTACTATCTGTAAAATAAATTTAATTCCATATGTTTTTTGTTTTTTTTTAATTTAATAAATATTAAAAAAAATATAAAATGTTTAAATATATATATATTTATATACACGACACTCCACATATAAATTATTAACACTTTTTTAATTATATTTTTTTTATTTATAAAATAAAATATATAATATATATATATATATATATATATATATATTTACCTAAAAAACAAGATTCTATTTCTTACTGTTTATATCTAAAATAAAAATAAAAAGTTGTATTTATAAAATATAATAATTTAAAAAATGGAGGTGTCGCATTCCCAAAATAAAAGAGAAAAACATAATTTCTCTTTTTTTATAATTTTTTTTCAGCCGTAAATTGTATAAGATTTAGACATTGTTGTTTTGATGTGGAGTGTTTTAATGTTTTACCATCCCTTTTTAAGTAAAGAAACCAAAAAGTTAATGGACATATTAATATTTTGTCTAATTTGTTCTTCAGTTAATTTATCAGTACCAACTGCTGTAGCCAAACATATCACTTTTTTCAATTAAAATTTGACAGTTTATTACAATTCCTTTACTTTAGAAGAAACAGATTCACCTTCAGTAATAGAAATAGGGAATTTTCCTATTTTATTCAATGTATTTCCTAATAATCTTGGTACTTATTTCATTAAAGATTCAGTACAAATCAAAGTATCAAAAGGTTTAGACCATTTTTTGATAAGTTTTTTGTCTTTATTGAATTTCTTTAATCCTTCCACATCAATGTAGTCTACTCCTAAAGCTTTCGCTTCATCACAATGTTTAATATTTCCAATTACGGCAACTTTTTTGTTAGGATAAGGCATATTGGGAAGCTTGATCGAGCCACTGAAACGTTTATCTTTTTCAGGATCATAGTCTCTAAGACCAATTTAAAGTTCAATTGTTTCAGAAAATTCTCTTTTCTTTCTTTCAGTTAACATTTAAGAGATAGTTGTTTTTAAAAATTCAGATGATATTTTACTGTATTTTTATATTAATATTCATATTTAAATATATTTTTAATTTTACCTCATTTTTTTATTTTTGTGTTTTTTTAAATGGCTCTTCCTCCTTTTTTTATTTTTTTAATTATTATTTAAAATTAGGGATAAATATATCTTATATTTTTTTTCCTTTATATATATAAATATATTTATTTTTGTATATATATATTTTTTATACTATATATATTTATTAAATATATAAATATTTTATATTTTTTATTTTTATTAATTAAATGAAAATAAATATAATTGAATTAATTTTTTATATATATATTTTTTTTTAATATATATTAAATAATATATACTTTTAAATTTAATTAAATTATATTTAACATCATGTTAAAACTAATTAACTAATTTTTATTTATAATGTTTTTTTTAATACATATGTTAGATAAAATATTAGATTTATATAAATATAAATATTTTAAAAAATAACTTTGAATAATATTAATTTTAATAATTAATTTTATATTATTTAGTATTTTCATAAGTTTATAAATTAATACATAATAGTTTTATAAGTTATCGCATCGAAAAAATATATATTGAAGTGTATGCTAAAATAATTTACTTAAATTGTCTAGTTATCCGCGTACATACTTTATAGTTATCTATCTACTCAGTATAATTATTTAAGTATATGGAATTTCTTATCATTATAAATTAAAGTACTTAATAAAATTACTATTAATATTTTATATGTTCTTAATTATTACCAAAAAATAGCATTTAAATTATATAACTCTAAATATCATACTAATTTAATTAAGTTCTAAAATTTATTAATTTTATTTTAACCTAATTTATGAATCTTAAGAAAAATTATTTTTTTAATAAAAGAAATTAAAAAATATCACTTCATGTTTTTTTTAATGTTTAAATAATTAAAGTTTTGGTTATCATTTTTTAAAAAATAAGAAAACAATTCATACCTTAAAAACTTATTTAAATATTTCCTTAGCTGTATTTTTAAATAAAATAAAAATAAATATTACTAATAATTAATAAATGAAGTTCTTTATATCTATTGGTGTTATAGGTATAGTCAATAAACAATATATAATCATATAATTTTTTTTTTTCTATAAATACAATATATTAATAAATATTAAAATTAATTATTATTCTTCTTACTTATATTAATAATTCTACTATTCTTAAATAAGCATAAAAACCTTTTCAAATTATTGAGATTTTATTCATTTAATCTATTTAATTATTTTTCAGTCTTATATAACTATTTTATTTAGAAAAATTGCATATAATAGAAGATTTTATTTATAATTTTTAAAAACATATAGCTTTATACTTATTCTTAAGATATTTGTTTTTCATTTTCTTATTCTCAAAGCAAAATTTTAATTAGCTTGTATTAATAGCCTTTTAAAAAACTATTATTCATATATATATTATTATATTTAGCTATAAAATTAATGATTTAAAATACATTGAGATAAATTAAATAAAGTAAAATTTATGTTAAACATATTAATAATTAATTTTTAAAAGTAAATTTTAAACTTAAATATTTTTGAAGTCTATATAAAAAGAGAAAAGAAAAATATAATAAGTTTTTATTATCTATAATATTTAATTTCTTATATAAATTCATTAATTTTATCTATTTATTTATATCAAAATATTAATTAATATATTATTATACATTTATTTGTATTCAATTAATAAAGTTTAAAAATTTAAATTATATATATGTAAAAAACCTTTATATTATAACAATCACCTGAACCTATATGCGAATTACTAGAATATATATAAGTAAATTGCTATAGTAGTAAACCTATAACATTTTTTGAACGGCGATAGTTTGCTGTGAATTACTTTAATCTTAAATTAATTTTTAAATATATAATAAGTATATTTAATATTATTATTAATATGTTTTTTAATTATTAAATTTTTAAAATAAAAACAATATTTTAGTAAGTAATTAACTAAAACAATATAAATAATTGTTATTTTTATTTAAAAAAGTTTTTTAAATAAATTTGATAAAATAATTTTTATTTTTATAAAATGTATTAAATAAATATTTATTTTTATTTATTATAAATAATTTAATATAATAGTCTTTTAGTTATACATTAGAATTTTATTTATCATTATTCTTATTAAATAAATAATTTTATTTTAATATTATATTTATCATTATTATTATTTGCTAGAATTTACCTAAAGAATTAATAATTATGTTAACTCTTTATCTGTATATTTATTCGCAGCTGACTCAGCTTCACCTAATATTTGTAAGGCTTATTTTTTTGTCACAAATCTTCCCTTTATTCTTAATCTATTATCAGCAACTTTTTTCCTTACATCATATGATATTTTTTTGTAATTACTTTTTTTTTTTTTTAATATATAATTAAATAAATATTTTTTATTAGAATTAATTAATTTACATTCTTCTTTATTTCTTAATTTAATAATTTCTTACTTTTTCTTTTCTTTGTATCCAACTTAAATTTCCAATTTTTTTTTCGGGATGGAATTATTTTAATTTTACTCCTGTCATAACATATTAATTTTAATAGATTTTTTAATTATCATAATCAAAAAACTCCATTAAATTAAAAGGAAATAAATCCTTTAGTGTATTTATTTTATCAAATGAATGATTCATCTTTAAATATTCTAAATAATAATTATCATCTCGTTTTTATGATAAAATGGTAAATATGCTGGAGGTAATTCTTTTATTAGATTAATAATATGTTTTTGAAAATAATTATGTTTTTTTAAACTTTTGTTAGTTAAATTTTTTGTTTTTTCTTATTATTTTTCTTAATATTTTTTTTCTTTTTTATTGATATTTTTTTCTTTTTTTTTCTTTTTTAATAAGTTTTATTTATTTTAAATAAATTAAGATTCATCAATTAATCTTAAAGTTAGTTCATCTCCATATTAATTCTTTTTTTCAAGCCTACAACTATTATTAAAATAATCAACTTGTTTTCTATATATTTGATATTTACATCCAAACATTTCTTAATTATTTTAATTTCCAAAATCATCATAAACTATTTATTATTAAGAAGAATTAAATTAATAGAATTCATTATTAATCATGTTATTAGTATTATTATTTTTTTTTTAAAAAAAAGAATCATAGTTATTTTACTAAATCATATCTTGACTATTAAAACCCTATGCTAAAGCATCTATTTCTATTGAGTCTTTGCTTTTATAATCGTTATTTATGTAATTTATATTTTCAGGATTGCTGAATGAACACGTCCTTTGAAAACCATCTATTATAATTAATTTTATTAAAAATATTTAAAAATTAAATGTATAAAATAATAAATATATTTTATTAAATATATAAATTTTTATTTTTTAATTAATTTTTGATTTTATTAATTAATTATAATTGTTTTAATATATTTTGTAATGACAATTTTTCTTATTGATGGTGTTTTAATTCTTATAAAATGAAGAATATCTTTAATCTTGTTAAAAATTCTATTTATAATTAGAAATATTGAAACAATAATTTTAATTTTCATTTTGTATATAAATATTTAATTTACATAATTATTAATAGAACTAAAACTGCTTTAACGGCTTCTATTTTTTATTAAAGATTTATTATCTTCATTCACATAAGAGTAATTATTATTAATAGCTTTATTTTCGAAATTCATAATTTGATTTGCATAAGAGCAATTAATAGGTTAGAAATTATACATTAATGTATTTTATATTTTTTTTTTTTTATTATTATTAGTGGATGCAAAAAAATTAATAAAATATTTTTAATAATAAATAAATTAATTTGCAATAATATTTTTTTGTTAAAAGAATATATATTTAACTTTATAAAAAGAAATAAAATTTAATTTAGAGATTTTAAATTTTACATATAAGTCATTTATTTAAAACATTTTTAATTTTTATTAATTTATAATTATATAATTCAACTAATCATATTTATATAAAATAAATTATACTATTTATTTAATTATTGAAAATCAAATATGTTTATTAAATAATTCATTTTAATTATGATGTGTAAAAATAATAATTTTTTTGTATATTAATTAATAATTAATTTTGTCTTCTAAAAAAAATAAAATTAATAACACTAATATTAAGAATTAAAAATTTAAATAAGAAATAATAAGAATATATTGAATTAAATGAAAAAAAATTAATAAATGAATATTTAAATTAATTATTATTTAATAACAAACTATAAATATAATAACTAAATTAAATAAATATTAATATATTAATATTGAATAATATTTTTTAAAAATTGTTGATATTCATAGGCTATATAATTTTGATATATTCAATATTTGACACTGAAAAATAATTAATTTTATAAAATTATGGTAAAAAATTTATATAAATTATAAAATAAAAAAAGCATGTATAAATTTTATATTATATAAAATTACAAAATTATAAATACATTTCGAAATAAAAGTTAATAAAAATAAAAATTATATTTATAATATATTTAATATAAAATATTAAAAAGAATAAAATAATATTAATAAAATTATATACTATAAATATATTCTATCAATACTAATAAATGTTTCTTCAAAGAATATAATTATAATAATTAAAATACAATATATAAATTATTATAATTAGTTATTAGTTTTAAAATTTAATAATAAATAATTTTAGATAATAAAATTTAAATCCTATATATATATATATTTTAAATAATTTATATTATTCGATTTTGTTTATAAAAAATAAATAAAATTTATATATATTTATTTAATAAATAGATTTTATTATATTAATTAATAATATGTATTTGTTTATTTTTTATTTAATAATAATATTATATATATTATAACAGAATTTTTATTTAATCCTAAAATGGGAAACTAATGTGATTGCGTTATTGATAGAAATACAGAAAATTATAATTAAATTGTATCTAAAATATTTAAATAATATAAATTTAAATATATATATATATATATATATATATATACTAAATTAAAATATATTAAAATAGGAATCAGAATTTAATTAATTTTAATTTAAAACTTTGCAATCCGATAACTAAAAAAAGCAGATAAACACAGTAATACTTACAAAAATAAATTATAATTAAATTTAATAATTTAATAAGAAGTAATTGATTAACACAAATGAAAACATTATAAATATAAAAAGTGAATATATTAATGATGAAAATGGATCTATTGAACAAGATATTAATTCTCCAAATAATATTATTATGAGTTAATAACAAGATTAAATAAGCTCCCAAAAATAAATATATTAATAGGAAAATTAACAGAAAAATCAATTATAATAAAGTATATCATAAAAGAATTATTTTGCAACAGAAAATGAAGAAATAATTTGTAAAAATAAATTAAAAAATTAAAATTTATTTATAAAAATTAGTTTGTCCAAGCGATAGTGAAAGAAGAGAAAAAAGGCCTTTATATATTTTCAATAGTTTATCAATTTATAATGGTGAATGGAAAGGGAATAAAAAAGATGGTTTTGGAATTTAAAAATGGATAGATGGGGCTAAATATGAAGGAGAATGGGATAATAATAAACCAACTGGAAAAGGTAAGTTTTACTATGCTGATGGAGATGTTTTTGATGGTATATGGAAAAATGGTAAAGCTAATGGTTATGGAGTTTATATTTATTCTAATGGAGTTAAATATGAAGGAGAATGGAAAGATGATTTATAACATGGTAAAGGAAAGGAAACATGGAATGATGGCTCCGTTTATGAAGGAGAATATTTTAATGGATAAATATAAGGATAAGGAAATTATAAATGGCCTGATGGGTTTTTTTTATTAATAATAAATAAAAATTAATAAATATATATTTTTAATTAAAGTTCATTTTATAATGGAGAATGGAAAAATAATAAAATAAATGGTCAAGTAAATAATAATTTTAACTTTTTTTTTATATATTCAGATTTTTATTTAGTTTTTATTTATTTTAAGGGAATTTTTGAATGGAAAGATGGAAGAGTTTATAAAGGATAATGGTTAAATAATAATATGCATGGAAATGGTATTTATAAATGGAAAGATGGAAGATATTATTAAGGATAATATTATTATGATAAAAAGCATGTTTAATTTTAATATATAATAATTAATTTTTATATAATCATTTATAGGGTAAAGGTATTTATATGTGGGCTGACGGAAGAAAATATAATGGAGAGTGGGAAAATGGTAAATAACACGGAAAAGGAATATACACATTAGCAGATGGAACTATTTTATATGGAATATGGGAAGATGGAAAAAAAATAGAATGGGTAGATGATTTTACTTAAAAAAATAGTTGATATTCTAGCATTTATATTAATATGGATATATTCTAAGTAATAAAGCTAAAATTATTTAGTTTGTAAATATAGTATAATATACTGGCTTATAAATATTAAAATAATCATATATAAAAACTTTATTATTTAATTATTAACCAGTATTTATTTTATCTTCATTTAATATTTTTAATATAAAAAATTATAGTTACTAAAGTTTATTAAATTTTATATTTTAAAAATATCATTGTAATGTAATTTTATAAACTAAACAAAATTTATAATACTTATATTAAGAATATGTTAATTTTTTATTTATTTTTAATTAAAATATAAATTATTATACTAAAATTCATATATGTTTTATTATTATTTATTGAAAATATTTATCTTTGATTTCTTTTTAGACAATTACATGTAATAATAATTAATTTATTAGTTTTTTAAAAAGTATATTATTTCAATATTTATTTAAAATATATATTTAAATTTTAACAATATTATATTTAATTCGTAAAAAAAAAAAAAAAATTATTTGATATATTCATTTATATAAAAAAAATAATGTATAAATAATTATAAAATAATAAATTATATTTGTTAAATACTTCCTTTTATTTTTTATTATTACTAAAATAAATTATAAAAAAAAGATATAAAAAATAAATAACTAATATACTATATACATAAATAAAAATATGGAAAATTAAATAAAAATATTAGAATAAAATTTATTATAAGATTTTGAATATACAATAAATTAATCAAGCAAACAACCAGAAAAAACTTTTGACTTAAATAATGGTATTATTGAATTTAATGTAAAAGATAATCGGGCATATAGCAAGTTTGTTTTAAATTATGAAAAATCAAAATAAGCATTAATATATAATACTAATACATGTAATTATAATAATATTCATATAGATTCACATTATGAAGATTTATAATGCTATTCAGTATAAAAAATATAAAATAAGTATTAATATGAAAATTTATAAAAAAAAAAAAAAAGAAAGCATAAATAGATTAAAAAATATAGTAAGAAATAAAAGAATTAGACTTAGAAAAGCAAAATATAGATTTTGAGTATAAATAAATACAAAATGAATTACAAATTGTTTGTAAAAATCATTATGTAGACGAATATAATATAAGCTAACCAAATATATTTTCTACAAAGTTCTATTTTGATGTATTAAAAAATGATTATGTAAAAGTTGAATATCAATTAATAGATTAAAATTTCAAAAAATTCTCTCCTGATAACTATAAAGGAGAAATCTATTAAATAGATGAAAAATAATAAGAAAAAACAAAATCAAAATCATAAGCAAAAGGATATGAAAATAATTAAGATATTGAAAAAGATTTTTTATATTTGTAGGAATAAGTAGAATCATATTTTGAATAAGCACATTTAGAATAATAATATAAATAAGATCAATTAGAAACTTATAATAGAGTTATGGAACATTTATAATTAAATAATAGATGGAATAGAAGACAAGCTTTATAAAATGAATCTTTAATGAAAAAAAAATAAGATGAGGATTTACTTTTTTAAGATCCCGAAAAAGTATTTTAAAATGTAAAAAGTGAATGGTATGAAGAAGTTTAAGAAGAATAAAGAAAATTTGATATTCTTTAAAAAAAAAATATCGATTTTGACCAAATGTTAGATAAAGTTGAACAAAAAATTAAATATTAAGATTATTTAGATACTTTAGAAAATTAAGCTTCATCTCATGATTTAATTTAGTAATTTTTGTAAAAATAATAAGATAAAATTTCTAAAAATGAAGAAGAAATAGCTATTTAGGATAAATAATAAGAAAATGCTATTATTGAAGTATAAGAGAATGAATAAACTATTGATGAATAAAAATAATAAAATCTTGATAATATATAAAAAAAAGATGAAGATCATACTTTAACTTCATTTTAATAAATAAAGTTGGTTTAGTATTAAATAAATAAATAAATAAATTAAAAATTAAAAAAATAAATAGGCTTGAAAATCCAAAAGAACAATAACAAAAAAATCCAAAAGCAATATCATCACGAGACTTTTAATGGGCAATAGAAGATGAATAAAATTTGTAAGATTTTTACAAAAGATTGCCAAAAGAAAGAATGGCAATATAATATCCTTTTGAACTTGATGTTTTTTAAAAGCGTGCAGTTTTACGTTTAGAAGAAGATGAAAGTGTATTTGTATGTGCTCACACGTCAGCAGGTAAAACAGTAATAGCCGAATATGCAATAGCATTAGCATAAAAGAAAAATCGAAAAGCAATATATACTTCTCCCATAAAAGCTCTTTCGAATTAAAAATATAGAGATTTTAAGTCGAAATTCGGAGATGATGTAGGTATTGTTACGGGAGATGTTTCTTTAAATCCAACTGCAAATTGCCTTATTGTTACTACAGAAGTATTAAGAAATATGCTTTATAAAGGACATGATATAATCAGGGATATTTCATGGGTTATATTTGATGAAGTACATTATGTGAATAACTAAGAAAGAGGTGTTGTTTGGGAAGAGACTATTATTATGCTTCCTGAAAGTATTGGACTAGTTATGTTAAGTGCAACTGCTCCTAATTATATGGATTTTGCAAATTGGGTAGGAAGAACTAAAAAAAGAACTATTTATGTATAAAAAACATTATATAGGCCAGTACCTTTATAGCATTCTATTTATATTTTCGAATAATTTCATGTAATTAAAGAAAAAGATGAAAAGTTTAGCATTTAAGAATATGATAATCTTAAAAATCAAATAAAAAAAGCTTAAAATCTTAAAAATTCAATTAGTGTTTTTAAATAATAAGCTAAATAGGAAAAATAATAAAAGGGAATCTTCAAAAATACGAATATGTCTTAGAAAAATAAAAGATCTATGAAGTCTATAACTGAAAAATATATAAAATAAATCAATGAAGAAGACCTTAACAGGTAGTAAAATTAAAGCGAACTTGAAGCTATCAGAAAGCTTCTTTATATTTGTGAAAATTAAAATTTACTTCCTTGTGTGGTTTTTGTATTTTCAAAAAATAAAATTTTAGAACTTTCAGAAGGATTGGGTAATATTACTTTTTGTACAATAGAGGAATAAGTAAAAATAAAATAAAAAAATATAATGTTTATTTAATAAAATATAAAAAAGAGATTCATTGAGAAAACATTCAATTAAGCTGCTATGAAAATTAACTTTAGAGACATAAGAGTTCCTCAAATATAAAAAACAAAAGACTTATTGACACGTGGGATTGCTGTACATCATGGTGATGTGATTCCTTTTATAAAAGAAATTGTAGAAATTCTATTTTCTAAAGGTTTAATTAAAGTTTTGTTTGCAACTGAAACTTTTGCTATGGGTATTAATATGCCTACAAAAACAGGTATGCTATAAAACTTTATAGATATAATATTTAAATAAAAAAGTTATATTTCATAGTACAAGTAAACATGATGGATTTAATTTAAGAATGTTAAATTCTTCCGAATATACATAAATGAGTGGAAGAGCAGGTAGAAGAAGTCTAGATGATAAAGGAACTGTGATAATATTTATTTAAGATTTAAATAAACTTCCAACAAGAATTGATTTGGAAAAAATGCTAGATCATAAAGTAATAGAAAATATAATAATAATATATAAATAAAAAACAAAAGGGAGAAGCATTAATTTCTAAATTTAGGATAAGTTATGAATCTATAATAAACTTATTATCTTCAAAATATATAAATATAATAGATTTAATTAAGAAAAGTTATATAGAAAATGTAAAATATGCCCAAATTCCTAGGACTATTCGTAAAATCAAAGATTTGAAAGCTTAATATTAAGAACTTTTAAATTTAGAATGCCATAAAAAAGATCCTGAAATAAATCATGTTTTAATAGAAAAATACTTGGATACTGCTCAAAATATGAACTAATTAAATTAAGCTTATTTTTAAAAAGATAAATATTATATTTAAGATAATCTTTAACTTCCCTGTTTTTGCTCTTTCATTGATTAGAATTTCAATATATATTTAGGAATTATAGTTTCCATAAGCCAATAAAAACATGATTAGAGATTTCTTTAAATAATTTATATAGATGAAATTAACTAGAACACAAATCCTAAATTTTATTTTTAATAAGATTAATTAGAATAGAAAATACAAGAAAATGTTTATTTTTTCGATCATGGAACTCAAAAACAGCATACATATACCATATATAATCTTTCACTAAGCGAAATAATGCAAATATATGATGATTAAATCGACATATATTCATAAAATAGAGTCCAAAAAGATTATTTAGGCGATGAATATTTAAAAAAATGTGCCTCGGCCTTAAGTATCAAAGAAGCCTTTCTTTAAAGATACAATTTTAGTTCCTGAATTATAAACTACAACCAATAATGCATTTCGTTAAAAGCTAAAAGTGAAGCGTTTTTAAGAATTTAAAATAAAAGCGGACTAATAAGATGCTGAAAAAAAGATGAAAAACACAAAAGAATTGCTTTCTTCCTTATGTCATACATGTGAACTTAAATAAGTACATTTAGATTAGATTTTAAAAAGAAAAGAAATTAGAAACTAACTTGAGTCACTTATTTAAAGTATTGATGAGGATTAAATACATTAAAAGTAAAGCCTTGAAGGAAAATTGCTTCTACTTTAAAAACTTAAGTATATAGATAAAGATTATAGTAAACCACTTTTAAAAGCTAGGGTGGCTAAAGAGATATAAAATATTTATGTAACTGAAGTACTTGTTTCTGGAGCATTTGACTATCTTGATGAATATGAGTTGACAGCACTTCTTAGTGTTTTTGTTTGTCAAGGAAAAGCTAAAGGATAGAAATATGATCCTGAAGATGATTATGAAACTGGATTAACCTATTGTCCAGAGTTTATAAGAGCTTATAAATAAGCAATGGAAATTACTTTATCTACAGTAGAACAGGAAATATTTTTTGGAGTAAAATAAAAATAATTATATATGATGATTTTTTAAATTAATTATTATAATATAAAAAGATTATCGTTACTAACAGTGCGGAATAATATTTGAAAGATAATATTTTTAATTAAGATCTTGTAAAAGTAGTTTATTCGTGGATGCATGGAGCTGATTTATTACACGTTTGTTAATTTACTACGTATTAAGAAGGTAGTATTGTAAGATGTTTCCTTAGATTAGAGAATCTATTAAATAATGTGAAAAGTGCAGCAATTATTTTAGGTGATAATCATTTGGCTATGAAGGTAGATAGTTCAAGAGAACTTTTAGTTAAAGATATTGTATTTTAATAAAGTTTATATTACGCTAATTTTTGAGTTTATATTAATTTTGTATTTTTTTTTTTTAATATTTTAATTATATTAATATATATATATATATAAATTAATTATATTAACTTTTTTTACTTAATTTATAACTATTATATAAGAAAATTTTATTAATTAAATTTTATTTTTACAAGTTTTATATGCATTTAGTATGATTATTAATATTTCTATTTATTTATGATAATTTTTTATTTAATTATACTTGAATTATTTATTTTTAAGTATAATATTAATTATTAAAAAAATAAAATATTATATGATAATTTTTTAATTATTTTCTAGTATTTATAATAAACTGTTCTTAATTTTAAAACTATTTATAAAATAATTTTAATTAAAAACTCTTAATTTTACTTTAAAGGAATTGAAAATATAGAAAAATTGAATATGTCTTAAATATAAAAATATATGGTTTAAATAATTAATCAATTATAAACAATCCTAATTTTTTTTATAAATTAAATATATTATTAAATATCTTTTATAATAAATAAATAAAAAAAATACAAATTATTACAATAAAATCTAATAATTATATAATTTATAAAGATTTTAACGAAAAAAAATAAAAAAAAGAAAAGTAAAATTATATAATTAAAAATAAATATTACAAGAAATTTTATCAAAATAAAAATATAATTATATTATTTATTTATTAATAAATATATATTTATGTAAAAATATTTTTTATTTAAAATATTATTAGGAAAATTAAATTTTACTAAAAAAAAAAATACAAAAAAAATACAAAAAAAAATACAAAAAAACAATAACATAAAAATGGATAAAGAAGGTGTTAGTATACATGAATTTGTAGTTCAAGAAGCAAAAGAAAAGAGTTACGAAATAGAAGTAAAAACATTAAAAGAGTTCGAAAAAGAAAAAAATCTATTAGTTGATAAAGAAATAGAATAAATAAAAGAATAATACGAGACAAAAATGAGACAAGTTGAAATGAAGCATAGAATTGAGCATTCTTCTGCTATAAATAATGCAAGACTATAAAAAATGGAAGCAAGAAACCGTGCAATGATGAAATTATTCTCAGATGCTTAATATAGTGTCTTTACTAAAACAAAAAGTGATGTAAATTTTTACAAAGATTTATTAAGAAAGCTTATGGTTTAAGGATTTATAAAATTATTTGATGAAAAGATAGTTTATGTCCGTTGTCTATAAAAAGACAAAGACTTATGCTCTAGTATTGTTGATTAAGCTGTTTCTGATTTCCAAAGATTAGTAAAGTAAGAAATGAACAAGGATGTAAAATTAAAAGTTGTAGTTGATGACCATAGATTTCTAGAAGAAAGATAATTGATTAATAATTTCTCTATCCCTGTAGATTAATATGATATTCATACTGGCTAATTAGAAGTAATACAAAAAAATCAAGATGATAAAAAATGCTTTGGAGGTATTGTTTTAACTAACAAAAATGGAGACATTATTGTCAAAAACACTCTTGATGTCAGATGTGATCTTTGCTTCTAAGATTCTCTTCCTGATATTAGAAATTTTATGTTTCCTAATCCTCTTCCGGTACATAATTATCAAAGATAACAAAATAACCATAATCATTGATTTAATAATGAATATTATGCTTTTTATTAAATACATAATATATTTTTATTAATATTAATTTATATATGTTTTTTTAGTTATTTTCATTATAAAATATTATAAAGAAAATTTCTTTTTTTAATGCAATTACAACAATAATCTTTAATATTTTTTTTATTTTTTTATTTTTTTACAAATAAATATTAATGCATTTATATTTTTTTATCATAAATATTATAAATCATCTTTTAATATTTTAAAATAAAATATAAATTTTTTATTTGTATTTTTATATATTATAGAGATATTTATTTTATTAATTTTTGTTTTATTTTATTTTTACAAATCAAAATAAATCTTTGTAAAAAAAAAAAATTATTTAAATATTGATTTCAATACAAAAAAAAATAATTAAAAAAAATTATTTAATAAATTAATTATATAAAGTAATATTTTACTAAAATATAATTATACATTTTAGTTATTTATTTATTTATTTATAATAATAATATTAAATAATTCGAAATAAAATGAAATTTAATATTTTTAAATATATATATAATATTAGACCTCGTCCATTTAAATATTTACAAAAATAATTAGATATTGAATAAGAATGGGCAAGTTTTTAAAAAAATTTGCGTCCGCATAAATATAAATTTGTTTTTATTACAGGATTATTTTTATATCCATTTTACAAACCTCTTATTCAGTATTCATATAATCAATTTATTTTATACATAGAGAATTAATTAAAAAAGGATCAACCAGTTTCTTAAATAGCTGAGAGTTTTGGCAAATAATTAGTTTCGGGAATATTTTTAGATTCCGATATTAAAAGGGAAAGTGGTATATTTGTTTAAGATTTGGTTAAATAAGAACTTGTATTAAATGCAATATTACAATTATTATTAGAAAGTATAAAAAATCCATTATTTTTAGATGAAAGTAAAGTTTTTGGTAAAAATCTAGTTTTAAAAGTACTTTAAGATCAAGAAGCACTTAATCATTGCATTTCATTGTTTTTAAAGATTTTAAAAGACTAAGAATTTAAATAAGAGACTGTAGAATTAGTTAAATATGCTTTTTCTCAACCATAAGTTAGTGATACTATAATTAATTTACTTTAAAACGCAATGGCAGACGAAAGATGTAGAAAATCACTTTATGCTGCTTTAGGTTCTTCTTTTTAAGAATTAATAATGGATAAAGAAACTCATGAAAAATTAAAAATATTTGCTTATACTTTAATCGAAAGTGAAACTAATAATGATAAAGGATCGATAAAAAATGTCATTGATGCAATCGTAAATAGCTATATGAAAAAAAAAGGTATTAATTTGAAAGAAAGCGAGTTTTAAAATTTCCTTAAAAATGTTGCTAATGATATGGATATTAAATAATCGTAAGAAGAAAGACTAAAAAATTTAAATAGTAATGATAATTAAAATGGTGAATAAAAAAAAAAATTTTTTTATTATTGAGGAATATATATTGATTTTTGTAATTTTTGTTTTAAAGAAAAAAAACATAATTATATAGACATGTTAATTAATTATAATAAAAAAATACTTTTGAAAATCCAAATTCTAATTTTATTTAATTCAATATTAAAAAAAAATATATATAAGAAATATTATAACATTTATATGATTTTAAATAATATTATTTCAATTTATTAAGAAAAAAAAAAAACCAAAAACATAATTGATATATATAAAAAATATAAATATATAAAAATATCATATATATTATATTTTATATTTATATATATATACACATATTTTATATTTATATATATTTATACATTATATATCATTTATTATAATGTGTTTTTTTTATTTTTTAAATATTTTTTTTATATATTATTATGTTTTTAAAAAATATATCAGAGATATCTACTATCGAGTCAACACATTATGATTATGTTGTCCCTATCTAAATTTTCATCATTATTTAAATAATATAATTTTTTTTTAAATTTATTATAATATTTAACTATTAATTTTTTGATAATTTAATATTTTTCTTTATTTCTTATTAATTATTTTATGGGTGTTTTATTTTTAATAAAATTATTCTTAGATTAAAATAAAAATTGTAAATTAAGAAAAAATACAAAATTAAATTAAATAATAAAAATTTTAAAAATATTATTTATTAATTATTTAAAAATAAATAAATTATATAATTTTAATTGAATTATTTTATTTATTTTTCTTAATTATATAAAAAATAATTATATAGTCTAATTTCTTTTAATTTTTATAAAAATAAAAAATAATAAATCAATTATATACATAAAAAATTAAACTAATTTTTTTCAATAATGTTTAACATTTAATCTTTATAAATTTGAATGAGTTATTAATTAAGCCTTAATAGAAACACGTCTATTTTTAACTTGCTTTGTAAGTGCATTTCCAATATCATTTTCATTAACTTCTAATTATTTATTTTCTTAAATAATGAAATCCAATTTTTCTACACCATTATTAGTTACCCATGCATCTGTCTATATAATAATATATATATTATATTTTATTAAATAAAAACCATTAAGTTTTCTATGGTATATCTTTGGTCTGGATTTTTAATAAGACATTTTTTAAGCATATTTTTAAGATTTTCGTCCATATCTTGAGGATATTATACTTCAGATTCTAAAATATTTTTTTTTAATTCTTCATTTTTTCTACCTTAAAATGGTCTTTCGCCTACAATAATTTCATAAAAAGTAACTCCAGCAGCCCAAATATCAGTAGGTCTTCCTTTAAAATCTTCTCCTTTCCATATTTCAGGTGCTAAATAGCATTTAGTACCATGATCATTAGATAATTTATCATCACCGCCTTCAAACATTGAAGATACTCCAAAATCTGCTATTTTAAGTTCATCATTTTCACTTATTAATAAATTATCAGGTTTAATATCTCTATGTATTACATTAGCAAAATTATGTACTTATTTTGTTTGTTTTTTAAAAAATAAATAAATTGGAAGAAATATAATTATTATTTAAATTTATAAATACAGTAGTCTAATCCTAAGACAAAATCACGAAAATATTTTCTTACTCTATCTATAGGAATAAAATATTTTTCGTTTTCATTATATTTTTTCCCTTTTTCATTTTTCCAATAGTTTTTTGAATTTAAACTTCCTTTTTTGACTAAATCTATTACCAAATAAATTTTTTCTTAATCCTAATCGTCTATAACTTCATAAAGTTTAGCAATATTAGGATGAGCCTTTTTATTTTTTATATAATTAATTATAATAAATATATATTTTACCATTCTTTTTAGAATAGCAACCTCTTTTTCTATCAATGTATAAGCGCTTTTATTTCTATCTAACATTTTTCTTTTCAATTTATTTCTATTGATAATTTTCAAGGCAAATTTTTATTTATTTTGTGTATTTAAAACCATCTTTACTTTTCCAAAACTTCCTCTTTTATTTAAAATAAATTAATTAAAAATAAAAATATTAGTAAATAATTTTAACTTTCCTAATAAATTTAGTACAACATAATTATTTATTTATTTCTATCCATCAGCATTTATAGATTTATCAAGTTTACTAGTTTCTAATACACTGTGTTATTCTTGAAGCATACTATAGCTTAAATTCCTGCTTAAATTAATAGAAACAGCCCTATTTAGCTTTTAATTAGAATGACTAGCCTCTTCTTATATTTACTCCATATTATTTGTTTCATATAAACTTTTTAGCCTTATATTATTATCATATTTATTTCCTTAAATTAACATATCCGATGATTATTAATCAATAATATTGTTTTTACTTCTTTAATAAATATCAGTTAGGGCAAATTCATTTTCTGTTTTTTCTGAAATTTAGAATAAAGATAAAATTTTATCTTTATCTTAAGTCCCAAAATCAGCAATTTTAGGCATTGAATTCAAAGAAACTTCATTTTCAATTTATTTATTTTAATCATATTCATGTATTAAATCAAACAAATCAGCATTTTAATTTTAATCTAATTAAGATTATATTTTTTCTTTTAAGACTATATTATTTGCATTATATTATTTGTTATTTTCTTCATTTTAAACATTATTGTCTTAATATTACAAAACAACAATAGATTCTTCGCTTCTGTAATAATTCTAAAATGTAGAGTTGTTCGAGTTTAATCTTACTTTTATTTCTTTAGTATATTTTCTTGTGCTCTTCCTTCTTTTGTTATTTTATTTACTTGGAGATAAATAGCCAACTTCATGATCATTATTTTCAGGTTTCTCAGTTTTTTAAATAACTTATTATTGTTTTTATTAATAATTGTTTTATTCTTATTAAGGTTCTTGAGTTTATTGATTAATTGCTGTTTAACCATTACTTGCTTAAACTGGAACATTTTCAAGTTATAAAGGATTTAGTGATTCCATGTCTTGTTATATTTATTAGGTTTGGTTTTCGGTTTTAATATTAGCATTTTGCTTAGGTAAAGAATTGCCAATGTTATTTAGAGAAAATAATGTGTTATTATTATTAAATTAAGACATAGTATTATAATTTAAACTAAAAAAGGATTATTTAGATATGAATTCAGATGATTAATTAGCTATTTTAGGTTATTCTAAATTTAATTAATTTAAATAAAAAGAAGATAATGAAGATTAATGTAAGTTTTGCTGCTATTATTACTATAATTAAGTTTAAGACTATGCATTTTATAATTATTAGTAATTATTATTTATTTATTATAATTCATTTAACTAATTTTAGTCTAGAAATTAATCACTTTTATATTCTTCGTCTTTATAATATATATTTTAAATTAAAATTATTTTATTTTTATGATTTGTTTACTTTTTAAATTGCAATAATTTTAATTAATATTACTATTATTAACGTAATCAGTTTTATCATTATAAATACTTTAATCTAGTATTTATTATTTATTTTATATTTATTACTAGAAATACATAGTTTTTTTCATGCTTTAAGTTTATAATTAACTATTTGCATGTTTTAAGATTGAATTAGTACTCTTTATAATTGAATTAGTACTCTTTGCAATTGAGTTTGTGTTATTATTTTCTATAATAAATTCATATTATTCAATATCTCTATTAGACATTCCTTTAAAATCATAAACGATAGAAGGTAGGCATTTACTACTATTCATAGATATTTCATCATTATTTTCTTTCTCATCTTAGGCAAATTTACAAGGAGTCATATTATTGCTTTATTAAAGAAGAATAGAATCTAAAAATAACAAAAAATTATAATATATTATATTAATATTTATATTAATTAAATATACTACTGTCTTTTAATTATGAGAAAATTTAATAATTATCCAAATTATTGTATAAATTTTTTTTTTTTTCTGATATAGGTTCTGAATCTATAGAATTATTAAATTGTTAGCGAATGCTAGTTGGAATTTATTTAGAATTACAGTCGAGCTCAAAATTTATACAACAAAAATATGGAATTTACATTAATTTAAATATTACTTGTTCTTATTGTTTTTTTTATTTTTTCTTTAATATTTTTTTTTTTTAAAAAAAACTAAATAAAAAAAAGGCTTTTTTCTATTTTTACTAGCCTTTATTTTTTTTGATTGATTAAGTTTTTTTTTTAAAAAAAAATTAGGAAATACAAAAAAATAAATAAGAAAAAATAATATTTAATATTTTTAAATAACTTTATACGATTTTCTACGTTAAAAAAAAATATAAATATACAAATATTTTTATAAAATAAAGAAGAAATTAAATCAAAATAATATTTTTTTACATAAAAAACATTTATATACATATTAATCATAAATGCCATAATATATATATATATTAATTACAGGTATTTTTGGTTTAACTGTAATTGGAGAAATGCAATCAATTTCAAAGTTTTATTCATAATAGTTCTAATAACTAGATATTTTTTTTCCAATCTTTTTAAATGATTTTTATTCTTATAATGATTTTATTTACTCTTCTCCAAAATCTTCCTACACCAAATCTAATAAATTTACATTTTGTGATATTATACGTTTTTTTTTTTAATCAATTTAATTTAAAAAGTCTGTGGTTTCTATATTATTAGCTTGTTTTTATTGCTAATTTTTTATTTTTTCATGTTCTTCTTATTATTCGTTAATAATATCGATTTTTGCAACATGAACTATTTACTCTTAATTAGGATATTAAATAACTCCCAGAGTAGGTAATCTATGATTAAGTCTAGAATTTTGTTCATTAGTACTTAATGAAAGTCTTAAAAAGTTAGCTGTTTAATTGCTTTCTACTTCTTATCTAATCATTTAATTTTTTTCTAATTCATTAAACTTAGCAACTGGTGAATCAAATTCTTTTGGATCTAACTTATTAAAATTTTGTAATTTATTTAGTTGATTTTATTCATGGAAACTAAATGCGTCTGATTATTAATCGTTTTAGTCCCTACTAATATTATTATAATTAGCAAATGAACTTTTCTTTATCATAAATTTTTTTGAATCTACTGTAATATATATAAATTTTTGTTAATACAAGAAAGTAATTATTTTACGAAATTAAAATGCTTAATTTAGATGTTTATTTTTTAATATATAAATTAAATTTAATTATACATCCAACTGTTCTTTTAAATTAAGATTCTTAACTTTTTATTACTTCTACTCTATTATTTTTTAAAGGGTTAAATTAGTATTTCTAATCATTATCAAATGATGTTTATATAGCTTTGTCAAGAGATATTTTTGGTTGTATTTATGATGAATTTCCACAACCCATTTTTTTAGTGTTTTTAAAATTAGTTTTATTAAAAAAAAATATAAGATAAATAATTGTTTATAAAATAAAAATTTATAAAAAAAAAAAAAGAAATTAAACAATATTATTTATTAATATTATTTTTTAAAAAATCTATTTTAAAATAAATTAAATTATAATATAATTAACTCTTATAAATAATATATATTTATATATTAATGTATAAAAGACTACATTTTTAATAATATCTATATTAAAAAAAATCAATTGAGTTCAAAATTAAGCATATACTTCTTATTTTAAAGCTTCTTCAACAATTTTAGTTACCATTTCTAAAGCAGCCTCAGGTTAATCTTGAGAAACCATATGTCCTGATTCAAAAACTTAGAAATATTACAAGTTTTAATATTTTTTGAGTACTCCATAAACTTAATTATTATTTCCTTTCCATTCTTTAAAGAAAGAATTATTAAATTCATCAGAATATTTCCATTATAATTAACTAACCCATTTTTCAGAAGAATAATAAGGGACAATAAAGTCCAAATTTCCATTAAAAACACTAACATGTATTCCTTAATCTAACAAATATTCAACTTTATGTATACATTCGCCTTACATTAAGTCTATCAAGAATTTTTAATAGACTTCATTATCACATTATTCATATTTTTTATTTAGTTTTAATTTAAACAAGCTTTTTCCGTATTATGAATTTAAAAGATCATCTAAAGCAGTATAATCAGGTTCTTATTTTCTTTAAATATTATACTAATCAATATTATTAGGATTATTAATAAGTAGTATGTCGTTAAAAGCATTAACAGCATTTACCCAATCTGAATTATTAATAGCTTATTATCCCTATAATTCAATTTTTTTAGCTTTTTGGTATAAAGTTGAGTTTGTTATTCCATTATCAAAGGCATAATCAGTTATTGAAGAAATAGTGTGATAAGGAGAAGTAAATCCATCACCAATACCGATTCCTTTTAAATTAAAAATATTTCCTTCTTAGACTATTTTCTAGCTGATCGAAGGTATATATTTACCTGCATAAGATTCTCCTAGGATGAATAAAGGAGTATCTTTTCCGTTTAAACCCAATTGTCCAAAACATCCGTTTTTTCCGTATAATTCAAGCAATGCGTTGTAAAATTGAGTCGCTAATTGTACTTAGTTTATAGGAATATCATTGTTTTTGGCTAAATGAGAAATTCCAGTTCCTATAGGTTAATCAACGAATATTACGTTGTATTTTTTGGTCCATCCGCTTTTATTTTAAGTAAAGTAAAGCTTGCCAGATTCGGTTTTATTCACATAAAGAGGCCCTAATTCATAAAAGTTACCGAATTATGAAGAACATCCGGGACCTCCGTTGAGCCATATTATAGTGGGAATATGTTTTAATTGTTATTCAGGTATTCCTTCGGCTCCGTAAAATATAAAAGATAAAGATGAGTCTGATTTTTTTATTCCAATATTTAAATAACCAGATTTGGTTATTCCATTATGTTCGTTAAGATCAACATTATTGCAAACTGTTTTTATGGGAGTTTTAGAAACTTTGCGCATAAAATTATTGTATGAAGTTAATTTTATTTTATTTTTTTAGGGTTTTTTTATTAATAATTATGTATTTATGTGGATTATTTGTATCAATGTTAAAATAAATAGTAATATTTTCATTTTTTTTTTTTTTTTATTGTTTAAAAAAGCTAAAATTATTGTTTATTAAGATTACTTTTTATATGTAATTTAATGATAATTATTTTTAATCTAATTAAATTGTATAATAAAGTGAAGATTCATTTATAAAAGAATAAATGTTATGATAAGATGTAATTTTTATTTAAATATTAAATAAAATTTAAATATTTTTTGTGTTATATATAAAAATATTTAATTTATATTTAAATTATTAATATAATAGAAGAAAATAATAAATAAAAAAATCATTATATATATTTAATTATTAATTAATAACTAATATATAAATATATATTTATATATATATAATTTTATAAAATAAACAAATTACTTTTATTATTTTAGTAATGTATAACTTATTTATCATTTTAATATTTAATACATAAATTCTTAATTTCTAGTTAATAGTTTTATCGATAATTAAATAATTTATTTTTGATCTTTTGCATCTAAAATAGAAAAAGCTTTATATTAATCTGAATAATAACTCTCTAAAAACTATTAAGTATTTTTAAAATTTTTTTAACACCTTAAACATGTTGATATAGTTTATTCCATTATAAAATATAGAAATATCTATCTAATATTATATAAAGATTGTTAAATTTCTTAATTATTTTAATAATATTTATTTAAGTATGCACAATCAATTAAAATATAATCATAATTTTATTATAGATTTCTTTTAAACAAAACTTTCATACTTTAATATTAATAATTCTAAAAAACAAAAAAATCATAAAATTATATATATTTAATAATAATAATAATAATAATAATATAAATGTATTAATTTTACATCAATTTTTTCATCATTTAAAATAGAATTATTATCAAATATAAAGATAGTATTTTTATAAAATTCCAAAATTTAGTTATAAACAAATAATTCTTAGTTAAAATGCTCAAAGTTTTAATCCTCTCTTTTCTAATATAGTATTTTTTATATTTAAGGGTTAGAAATTAAATTCTAATAATTATCGAAATTTTTTTATTCCATAAATATTCTCGCAATTTTTAATATATTAAAAGTTTTATTATAAAAATCCTCCTAGCCGCATTCTTATAAAAATATAAGTAAATTATCAATTATACACTTATTTTACTCTTCATTTAAAAGTGTATTTTAAAGAATTTCCTATATCCTTTTTTATGGATATCCAGCTTAAAATAAAATTTATCTCATGCCATATTTATTTTCTAGGGCTTGTTCTTACTTAATACTTTAAGCCAATAAATTATTAACTAAACTTTATTCGGGAAAATTTGATAAAAAACAAGCCAGTTCCTCAAATTAATTTTATTCTATTAAAATTTTACAATAAGCCCTAATAGTATTTATATAGCTTTATTTTATTTTTTCATGGATTAAATTATAATTTGAAAAAAAAACGTTTACCAAAATATATTAAAATCTAGCCTAAAATATTAGGCTTTCTTAAAAAACTATTTCTTGATTATTTGAAAAAAGTTCTTCCCATAAAATATTGTTATTTTGTTAAAAAAAGGACTTTATAAATTAAAAAGAAGATAATTTTATTTAATTTTCACTTTCGATTTTATTAATTTCATTAATCAAAATGTTTTCAATACTTTCGTTTTTGAAAAACCCAATGTTTTAAAAGACCTTTTCATAATTTTAATAAGGTTAATTACTTGAAAAATTCACAAAATCATTAAAGTCTTCTTAAAAAAATTAAGTTTTTTCAAATAAAATACCTTTTATAGTTAAAAATCTCTTTATTATTTCATGAAAAAGTAGACATCGAACAACCACCCATAATTAATCGTAAATATAATCAACATTTTTTCTTTTTTTTAATATTTCTCTTATAAAATTCTCTTATTATTACATAAAAAGGCATAAAAATATTCCTCTCCTTCAATTTTCATTTCTGAGTTTTAAAAACATTAACTAATACTTTACAACCAATTTTTATTTCCATAAAATCCTCTTTATCTAAATCCAAAAAAATCCTCATTTTTTCCAAAAAAATATTATTAATTATCATTATCAAGTATTTCTTATTCAGGAAATACACTTTAAATTGCTGTTTAATGAATTTACATATTATAAGTATTAAAAACGGCTAATAATTTATCAGTTTATCCTTATCTGATATAATAAAATACTTATTTTAGAACTTCTGGGTGTCTTATTATTTTTTATTGTTCCTCAAAAGTATTTTATGTTTCATTAGAAAAGTTTATTTCTTCAAAACGTTATTCTGTTTTGCACGTTTAAATCCAATTTTGTATAAGAAAAAGTTTCTCAAGTGTTGGATCAAAATTAAATATATCCTAAATTATTTAAAAATCAGAATAGTTTTGAGATATATAAGATATTCTTAATTATGAGTTTTCAAATGTAGAAGGTTTATTACTCAAAAAGTTTTATAAATTATCTATTTTATATGTATTTTTATTCATTTTTATTTATTCATTTGTATTTTTATTCCATATTGATTAAAAATATTAATAAAATGCATATTTTTATAAATAATTTGATTATTAACTTTATTATTTTAATAAATTGTTGTTTTTTTGTTTTTCTTAATATTTTATTATATCTAAAATCAATTGCCAAGTCCTTATTTGATTTGTAAATAAATCTTTTAAGGATAAATCTTCTTCTTTATTTTAAGTAATTGTATTTAATTATTCGTTATTTTAATAAATAAAATAATGTATTATTTTTTAAAAATCTTCAAAGGTTTTCTTTTCTTTACTAATTGTATAATATATTTCTTTTCCTTAAAAATTCATATTAATTTTTAATGTTTTGTATTTTTTTTTTTTTTTTAAATATAATTTTTTAAAAAATTAATAAATCTTTTTTTTTTTTTTTTTAGAAATTAAATTTTTTGCTATTTTTAGTAAATAAAAAGTATAAAATATTTTTATTTATAATTTATTCGAAATTTTTTTTATATTTTTTTAAATTTAAACAAATAATTAATTAGAAAAAACCAGTATAATTTAAAATATATAAAACCTAAACATTATTTTATAAAAAAAAAAAATATGAAATAAATAATTTTATTTATAATAATATATAAATTTGATAAATTTTTATATAATTCAAAAACTATTTATATCTATTTAAATCACAATTTAATAACTATTTTATAAATCTCTATTTCTACAATACTTATATATCTTAAAAAGTTAAATTTTATTTATTTATATTTTTAAAAATCTATATTTTTTGCTATTATCTTTAATAAAAAACAAATTCTCCTTAAAATATAATACAAAAATCATATTTTTTCATTTAAAATATTATTATTTTTTATTGAGAAAACTCCAAATTTATATTTTCTTAATATTCTTATTAATTTTTATTTTTATTATAAAGTTATTATAAAAACTCAATCAAATAAAAAAAAGAGAGAGAGAGAGAGAGAGAGTGAAAAAAAAAATTATTAGCGGTCCTATCCCATTTTATTGTCATTTTTGATTGAGATTTTAAAATAAAAAATAATAAAACTTATAAATAATTAATATTTTCTTTTTTTGTAAATAATAATTAAAAGTTATTTTTTTGTCGTTTACTTAATTATTTTTATAGGTATAGTAAAAACTCTACTTTTTTAAATAGTTGATATTATTATTTTTCATTAGTAATATATTAATTTTGATTTTAATAATATTATTTATTTTAATTATCATTTAAATTATAAGTTTCATCTCTTAAGATATAGTTCTGTATAAATTTTTTTCCTTCTTAATATTTTATAGATACAAATTTTATATTTTATTTAGTTATTAATATATTTTATATCTGAAATAAATATCAAATTTTTAAAATAATTGGAATATCACTTTTTTTTTTACCCATAAAGTACTTTTATTTTGTTAAATATTTATATTTATTTTAATCATATAAATTTTCAATCATATTAATATTTTTTTTTAAATTAGTAATCTGATAATGTGTCAATGTTAATGCTTTATTGGAAAATCTCTTCTTAATATTATAGTTTTCTTTAAGCACTAAAAAATTATGGGAATTATAAATTTAGTTTCAATTAATAATTTTATGAATTCAATATAGTTGTTATACAAATAGTTTAAACTAAAAAGCTAATAATTTAATTATTCATTTCATTATCTTATGAATAAATATATTATAAAAATAAATTAATTATTTTTAAGTATATTATTAACAATTAATAACCCGCTATTAAATAAATAAATTGATTAAATAAATACAAATTAATATTTTTAGATTTTTTATTTATTCTTTATAATATACATTATCTATTATTATTATTATCTTTTTGATATTATATTGAACTTTTATAATTACAACTATTTTCAATAATAAATATTAAAATATTATACTCAATTAAAAAAAAATTATTAAATATTATTTTATTTTATTTTTAAAAAAAAAATTAAATATATAAAAATAGTAATGAAAAGTCAAAATAAAAAGGAATAAGGTTATGAAGAAGATCCTCAAAAAGCAAAAAAGGGTCAAATGTTAATATAATAAATAAGAGAGTTTTTAAGAAAAGACGAAGAAGGTTATTCAAACGAAAATTTTGATCCTACAAAATATTTAGTTTAATTATTAATAGGTTAAAACAAAAAAACACAGTAAAAATAAAAAAATGATAAATATAAAATAAATGTATATATATGAATGTATATATATATAAATAAATATATATATATATATATATATATATATATATATATATATATATATTTCTATTTATTATATACAGATTAATGAATTATTTGATATTTTTATCGATAAAGAAAATGAATGTGATTAATTAATATCATAAGCTATTGATTTAAGAACATAAGAATTTTCTGAATTATTATAAAAGCCAATGTTTTATGGAGTAAAAAATAAAATATTAATAATATAAAAAATATATATAATAGTTATAATATGAAAAATTACGTCAAATAACTAATTAGAGTCGAAAAAATATTATTAAATCAAAAGAATTATTGCAAAAAAAAAAAATAGATTTAAAACTATATCATATGAATTAAATATATTTAAAAAACATAAACAAGCACCTAGAATTAGTCGAATATTTTTATCAATTATCTTTTTAAATCGAAAGTCGGATTAAAGCATATTCTTTTTTCGAAGCTTCGGCTTATATTATTGAATTAAGGAAATCTTTGTACAATTTTAACCAAAAATAAAGAGAAAGTGTATTAATTAAATCCCTTATATAATAAGAAGTGAAGAAAACAGAGGAACTTTTTAATGTTTTGAAAGAAAGGTTACTTTTTTTCGCTTTTAATTTTCAAAATAGAATTTTTATTTGTGATGAAGATAATGCAAATGTACAAAATCCAAATAAAAATTTCTTTTTAGAACGGGTTTAAATAAAAAAAGATTTCTCTTAGTAAAATATAGGAAAAAAATTCAAAAATGCAGAAGAATTTGGAAATTTTGTTAAGGAAAACTTCAATATAGACTTAAATGTATACTAATACTTCGAAGAAAAGTTCGATGAAATGGAAGATTTGGTCCATGATATCCTTTTATTTGACGATGATGATGTTTTGTAGTATTTTGAGAATTTAAATAGCCAAAACTTGTTGGATTTTGTTGATTTTTCGATGAAATTTGATGACTTGGAGACTGTTTGGGAAGGATTAAAGGGTTTAAAAGATGATGAAATGGAAAATTTGATTCCTTATTGTGGAAAAAATGATATTTTGAATTTTGTTTTAGGGGTTATTTCTTGTTAAAAAATTGGGAAAAGTAAAGATTTATTTGAGGAGTTTTATTAGAATTTTCGAGCCGATATAAATTCGAGTTTTATTTTGGGGAATTTTATGTTTTTGAGAAAAAATATGGATGAGAAAAGACGAAATATATAATATGGGGAAAATTTTTTGGAAGGAAAGGAAATCTTTGAAAAGATGAATTTTCGAAATGTAGAGAGTCTGGAAAAAATGCATGTTTTTATAAAAAAAATGCTATGTTTAAGTTTAATTATTTTAAGGAAGTAAATTTTGGTATAAAAAATAATATATTTGGAGAATATTAAAGTTCCAGATGATGATCTTTTGGTCTCTTTATAACATTTAATTATGGTTTTAGCATCGGAAATTGAAATGATTATACATATGTTATTTTTTAGGGCTTTTGATATCAATCCATGTATAAATGATATTCGAAATGAGAGAACTTTTTATCATTTATTCCATTTAGAATAGATTAAAAATTTATAAGATATCAGTTTATGTCAGTTTGTGTTCATTAAAGAGGTTATAAGAAGTTTTTGGGAAATTGTAGTGGGAAAAATATAAAAGTTTATGAATAAAAACTAGGAGATTTTCAAAAAAGATAACCCAGATGAATTAAATAGAGTATAAGATTCAATTAATGAAATGATTAATAATGATGAAAAAAAATTTTATAGACTTCTTTTTGAGTTTTATAGAAAAGGGCTTTAAGAAAGTTTCGAGGAAGAAAAAAAAGGAGATAATAAAAATGATGTTGTATTTTAATTTTAAGGAAAGAAAGAAAATGAATTATAAAATTAAAAATTTGATAAAGAAATAACAAAATTAATAAAATTAGGGAATATAAAATAATGTGAAAGTTAATTTTTTAATTGTTGTATATAAAATATTAATTAATTGCATAAAATTTATTTGGTATCTAAAGGAAATCTTTCATTCGAATTTGCGCTAAAATTTATAAATTTTTAACTACATATTTTTAATAATATGTATATAAAATATATAATATATATATAAATATATATATATATATATATTTTATATTGCATTAAATTATTTAAATAGGTATTAAAATTAAATTAACGAAATGATTAATAATACTGTTTAATAAAATTTACTTTTTTCTATTAAAGGAAGGTTTCTTTTGTAAAATAATGGATATTTTTTATGGTATTAGGAACATTTTTAAACTTTTCCATAGTTTATATAAAGTGGATTTTAAGCTTAGAAGCCGATTTCTGTTTAAAAATATAAGGAGCTTTTAAAAGGTGCTTACTAAGAATTTTTTTATAAAGAAATTTACGCTGAAGAAGAGTAGCTATTTAATAAAACTATATTTTTGTAAAGAATATGTAAAATTATGTTAAATTTAGAAAACTATTTAAAATAAGTTTTTGTGTTTTTTGTTGAGTTTTTAAAATTAGAAAAGTTTGAAAGCCTAAAAAATAAATTAGATAAGTATTTTAAGAAAAAAGATGATAATAAGAATAAATTTCCGACTGAAAAAGAGATTTATGATATAAAAATTAATTTAATTTAAAGTTGCTTTGAAGATAGATAAGCATAATAATTTAAAGTAGACTTTTTTAAAAATTAAGAACCTTTTTCTGTAAATATAAATGAAGAAAATCTAGAAACTAGTATATAAAGGTTTGTATTATATATGATTTAATTACTTGAATGTGCAAATAAATGCTATCTTATATTAAAAATGGAAGTACACATGAAATTTTTTGCATATATAATGAAAAGTGGGAAAAATATGAATATAGTGCAAAGATCAAAAGAATTTTCAGCTACTAATATATAACATTTTTATTCTGAATTATATAGATATTATTGTAATATTAAAAATATATTGCCTTAAAAAACAGTAATATATTAATATATATGTAAAAATTATATATAAATATATATAAATATATTTACATATATTATACATTAATATAAATATTATATATATATATATATATATATATATATATTATATATATATATTTATATATATATATGATTATTTATTTGTTTATAAATATTTTTTATACATATTTATTAAATAAATTATATATATTTTTATATATATTTACATATATATATTATTTTTTTAACTTATAATAATTATAGATTGATATGTTATTTGATGATACTGCTTATGTTTTAAAATATTGTATTAAATTTAATTTTTTTATGGATAAGTAATTTCAGTTTGCTAGGACTAAAACACTTTTGAAAGACATTTAAATTTTAGGTTAGGAATTATTGAAAATTGAAAGTATTTAAAAATAAGAAAAACAAATTTAAAAATGCTTGTTATAAATAAAATAATTTCTTTAACTTAATATGGTTAGTGAAAATGAATTGTTTGAGTTTATTAGATTAAATAATTATAAATATAAACTTAAAAATTTATAAGAATATTTCTTTTATAGAAATAGTAAAGGATAGGATCTTGAAAAATTTTATAATTCAGTTAAGAAATATTTAAAATAATAATGAATTTTATATTTTTTGACTTTTTATTTTATTTTAAGTCAATTTTTTTTATCTATCTAGCTTGGGATAAATTAATAATTTTTTGTTATTATTTTATATTAATATTATTTTGTTTAAAAAAAAATAAAAAAATATTAATATAAATAATACTATGTTTTATATATATAAAAAAAAATAAAAATTTTTTTTTTTTTAATTTAACCTTTTTTTTTTTAATAGAAATAATTTTTTTTTTTGTAATAATAAATATGAAATTAATTTAAAAAAAAGATCTAAATAATTAGTTATTTTATTAAAATAATAATTTATAAGAATAAAACTTTGATAATAAGATAGTTAATGGAAGATGGGCACCTGAAGAACATCAAAAATTTGTAGAAGCATTAAAAATGTATTAAAAAAATTGGAAAAAAATAGAAGAATATATTGGCACTCGAACAGGTGCTTAAATAAGATCACATGCATAAAAATATTTTAATAAATTAGAAAATGATTGCCAATAAAATATATAGTTGAATGAAGAATAATTATAATTAAGAGAAATCATTAATAGTTCTTAAAATAAATAAGATAATAAGGAAAAATTAATGATTAAAAAATTGCATAAAATTAAAAAAGAAAATGTAAAAAGAGAAAGAATTAAAAAAAAAAACATAGAAGAAAAAAAAACATGTAATACTTCGAATTCATAAAAAATAGATGGTAATTTTTTTTTTTTTAATTCTTTTTTTTTTTTTATTAATTAATTTTTTTGTTATATATATATTTATATATAAAAAAAAATATATATATATATATTAAATATAAATATATGTATTTATAGATGAAGATTAATACAATAATGCCAAAACATTGTAAAGTAGACAAATAATATATATTAAATTATATATTTTTTTGTCTTTTTTTTATGAAAATTTATATATATATATATATATTTATTATTTTCTGGTTTGGCTTGTTATTTTATTTATATATATATTAATATATACTATATTAATATATACATATATATTTATTTAGCTATTTTTTAATATATTAAATATATATAATAAAGATTTAGAAATACTAGATTTTGCTGTTAATTAAAATCATAAGACTTATAATAATTAGAAATAAGGTAATTCGAATATTTAATTTGAAATCTATGATTAAACTGAATATAAATGCAAGCATAAAGAATTTTATTTAGAAAATAATTTAAATAAACAAGAAGGAGATTTCATTAAATTTTGTATGTAAAAGTATTTATTATTTATTAAATAATTTAATAATTAGAAAACCATGAAAAGGATTTTTACAATAATAATTTTAATAATATTGAGTAAATTAAATATATTTATTTAAATTATAGTTTATTTTTTGTTTTAGGTATTAGATAGATTTGAATTATGAAAATTAATAAAATCTAAAAAAAATAAGAAAAATTTCTATTGAAGATTGCAGATTATCTAACAACAACAAATTTAGTGAAAACTATTTTCATGATAATTGAAAATAATTATCATTCAATTTTTAAATATTTAAAATATTGATATTAATATAAATTATGAGTGACTCTCCTCCCTTACCCACCTCCCCACTCCCCCCCCCCACTCCTTCTATTAAAAATAAAAAATAAAAAAAATTCATAAATCTTATTTTAATTTTTTTTTTTTTTTATAAAAAATAATTTTAATTTTTAAAAATACTTTAAATTATTTTAAAAATTTATAATAAAATTATATAATATAAATCTTTCTTTTATTAAAATATATTTACTGAAATAAATTTTTATTATTTTTGACTCTTATATAGCTAATTGTTTTAGTTTCTAAATAATAAAAACGCTTTTTTTTAATAAATAATATTAAAAAACAATATATTACAATAATAATTAATTAAAAATATATAAACGAAAATAATATTAAAAATATAAATATTTCTTTTAATTATAATAGTTAGTTATATATAAAAAAATAAATTATAAAAAAAAGCTAATAATACAATAAAAATATTATTATTAAAAAAAAAAAAAAAATGCATCGTCCGGGAATTGAACCCGAGCCGATTGCTTGGAAGGCAATAATCCTGCCACTAGACCAACGATGCTTGATAAACATAAAAAAAATAAAAGTCAAAATAAATATTAGAAAAACTATATTTTTTATAAAAAAAAAAAAAAGAAAAAAAAAGATTATTATATATATATAAATGGTTAACAAAAATCAAGGTCTCCATCCATTTTATTTTGATATTTCAAATCTATCTTTCCAATTATCACATACATATTCATCTTAGCAAGGATTTCCATATAAACAGCTACATCCTTCTTTCCTTTGTTTATTTACTACTCCATATAATTATTAATCTTCGGTTGCATTATTTTATTATTTTTAGTTTTTTAAATTTTCTATTTTCTCTTTTTCGGCTTTCTCGTCTTCTTAAATATCCAAATTGTATTATTTATTAATAAACATTTATATAAAGCATGTCTCTTTTTTTTATTTTGGATTGTATTAGTATTTTTTTTAATTAAGGATTTCAAAATCTTCATCTTTTAATATTATTTGGTAATTTCCTGCATACTTATTGTTTAATTGGAATTCTTTTTTTATTAAATTTAAAGGAAGAGCACCATTAATTATTATAAAGTCTATATTGTCATCATTAAATCTTATTTTTATATTTCCGTTTTGGTTTGGCTTTATTTTATTATTCAAGCATCCCATTTATATATATAAATATATAAGTAATATATATGTAATAATATATAAATTTTATAAAATACTTAATTTTTTATAAAATATAAATATATATTTAAAATCAAATGAATTGTATTTAATTTATTAATGGTTCTATAATTTTTCTAGTATAAGTTTTCGTAGGATCATAAAAAGCCACATAATTAATTTTTTGATTGAATTCTAGTTCTTTTTCAAAGTAAATTCTTTCTAAAGTCAACTCTTATAATAACTTATCATGTACTTTTTACAAATAAGCATTATTTTAGCTAAAAAAAAACACTTTTCTTTCAAAGTCTTCCTAAAAAGGATACGCAAACATCCAAACAATTACCGAAACATTTTCTTTTTCAAAAAATTGGAATAATTCATTTTAAATTTCTTCTTTTTGAATTTCCTAAAAAAGACTTTCTGGAGAAATCATAAACACAGAATATCCAAAAGATACTTCATTTTAGTAAACGAATTTTTTATAATCTTTAAAAAGTAATTTATTTAGACCTAATTGTAGATTTTTTTGAACATCAAATTTTAGATTTTCAAGTTCTTTTGCAATAATGTGATTTTAGATGTCTTTTTTCCCTAATTTTTCTTTTATTTAAATAAAAAGGTCTAAATCTTGTTCTGACCATCTTATATGCATTTATTTTGAATCGAATGTATATGAATCTATTAATATTATATACATTATTAAGTCTAAGATATCATTTTCTATTATTATGGGCTTTTATAATAGTTATTGGAGTAAAATGCATGTAGCAGAGCATGTGAAGCGTATTATTTTGTGAATTTTTTATTTTTTTTCATAAAACTCGTCTGTATGGTCATTATGATGATCGATTATTTGGACTACAAATGGTTTTATAAACTCTATGTTTGTACAATTGTGATCGTATAAATATACTTTTAGGTCTTTTTGAAGATTTTGGTATTATTCAAAGGGGATTTCATTTATAAAAATTAAATCTTTGGAATTTATATTATATTTATTTAGTAAATAAATACAGTCAAATCTACTTTTGAAATCTTCCTATTAACAATTTATTATAGGAAAAAATAATTCTGAAAAATCTTAAGGATGCTTTTCAAGTATTTGGTTTGTCTAGAGATTGTTCTGAGTCATGAATTCATAATAAGAATATATTAGTGAGCCTATAGCAGAATCTAGATCAGCAGATTAGTTACCTAAAAAAATATGGACTATTTTAGGAGATTGTGGATTGAGTGAATGGTTAAAGTAATTTTTGGTTTGCTTTATGAATTTTTGGAAGTTTGTTAGAGGCGTTTACATATTTTTTTTATTTTTTTAGTTGTATATATATATATATTTTTTATTTTTTTTATTTTTTATAAAATATTTAATATATATATATATAATATTAATGTATTATTTATTTCATTTGTTTTAAATAAATATTTTTTTTATTATTATTATTATTAAAATAAAAGATCTTTTTCTTATTCCTTCAATAATTTTCAATAAATTATTGTTCGGTTAATGGGTTTAAAATTTATTCATCTTCTTATTAAAAATTTTACACATCTTTAGCCATTTCGTTTTCTTTATTTTATTATTCCATTTTTTTCGATGCAGATGTATTTGTTGAATTAGTATGTTAATCCATATGTTAGTTTTCCTTATTTTCCATATTTTCTTATTATTAATTATTTTCTTATTCCATTTACATCATGTTTTCATTATTGTTTTAGTTTTCAGTTTATTAAGGTTATTCTTAATTAGTTTCTTCTTATTACATCATTTCTACTTATTATAATTATTAATTGGGTACTTCTTATACTTCTTATTATTAATTAGTTTATAATTATTATTATTCAGTAGTTTCTTATTATTATTATTATTATTATTATTATTATTATTATTATTATTATTATTATTCGGTGGTTTCTTATTTTTATTAAATATTATTTTATTATTAGACATCATCTTATGTTTATTCAGTAGTTTATTACTATTGTTATAGAGTTTCTAATTTTGTTTATTCTTTAGTTTTTTATTGTTTCTGTTATTTTTTAGGTTATTGTTATTTTTATGTTTGTTATTTAGTTTATTTTGTTGTCACTTTTTATTCTGTTTTTTTATTTTCGGTTTTCTTTGGGATTTCCTTTGTTATTTTCTAAACAACTTCAGCTTTTTTTTAGGTAGCTCTAGTTTTAGATTATTCTTTTTTTTATTATACAATTTTCATAGGTTCTTATTTTTTAGGTTATTGAACAGGTTTTTTATCTTTGGAAATTTATTTTTTTAATGGTTGTTATTTATTTTAATTAGCAGGAAGTTTATTTTCTTTTCCATAGGTAGCTTTTGTGGGATTTTTTTAGGAATAACTACGGGTTTCTCTCATATTTTTTTTTTTATTATTTTTTTTTTTTTTTTTATAAAACTAGTAAATAATAATTATTTTTTTTTTAAAATTTAAATAGAATATATATTTTATCTTTTTATATATAGTATATATTTGTAATTATATTTAATCTTTATTTTTATTGGATATTCCTATAACAATAGGATTAATTCTCTATAATAAAAATACTTATAAAAATACTAAAAAAAATTAAACGAAATTTTAATTTTGAATTTTAAATTTTTTTTTAATCACATAAATATAAAAAATATACATTTAGTAATTAATAATTATTAAAAGAAAAAAAAAACAAAAATTAATAAATTTTCTTTTTTTTCTATTACTTTTTTAATTAAATAAAAAAAAAAGATATATGGGCTGTCGACACTCGGACTTCCCAAGCGGTCCCCCACCTTAGTACTAACCGAGCCTTAAGGCGCTTAACTTCGGAGTTCGAATGGGATCCGGTGTGTTCACCTTAGTATGGCCGACAACAAAACTTATTCTATTAAATATGTTTTTATAGATGGGAAAAAAAAATATTTTTATTTATAAATATATATTTTTATTCATATATAAAAATTATTTATTATATTATATATTTTACTTTAAATTATATAATGATATTTCTAAAAATTTTCGATTTAAAGTGTTTTATAAATTATATATATAAGCTTTATATCAAATAAATAAAAAAATTAATTTTTTTGTTTTTTTTATATTTTTATATTTCGAAATAAAAATAATTGTTTATATATTATAATAATATATAAAATTAAGAAAGAAAAATAATTTTTTTATAAAATTATATATTTTTTTTTTTTTTTATTCAATGATTGAAATAAATCTTTTTTGAATATAGTGAATTTATTTTAATTAAAATAAAAATTAAATATTTCAGAATTAATGAAATCAATAATTAGTTAAAAGTATATAAACAGATAAAAAATTAACATTTTATAAAAAAATATATACTAAATAAATTAAGATTTGAATATATAAAAATAAAAAAATTAATATATATATATTAATAATTTTCCTTTATTTTAATAAAAATATTATTTTTAAATTATTTGTAACAAAAAAACTAAATATAAAAATAAATTATATATATATATTTTTTTTTTTATTATTTTATTTAAATATATATATTTATTGTTCTACCCCATCTATAAAAACATATTTATTAGAATAAGTTTTGTTGTCGGCCATACTAAGGTGAACACACCGGATCCCATTCGAACTCCGAAGTTAAGCGCCTTAAGGCTCGGTTAGTACTAAGGTGGGGGACCGCTTGGGAAGTCCGAGTGTCGACAGCCCATATATCTTTTTTTTTTATTTATTTATTTTTTAGATTTTTTTTTTTTTTAAAATAACTCCTAACATAATAATAAAATTTAAAGATAATAATTATTAATATAAATAGTATTATATTTATTTAAAAAAAAATAATATTATTAATATATTTTTATTCAATTAATTCATTTATATAAATTAAAATACATCAAAAGTTTTTAGTAAATAAATAAATCTTAGTAAGTTATTTTGTTTTCGCATACTAATGTAAAATAAAGAATACTTCAATAAAATTCTATTAAAATATAAATATTAAATTAAAAAAATTTTGTGAAATACATTAATAAGTTTTGATTGAAAATCATTAAAAAATAAAATTTTGTTATAAATTAAAAAAAATATAAATTTAATATTTGAAATCTTATAATTATATAAATAATTTATTATAATATAAATTTAATAAATATACAAATATAAAAATAAATATGAAAAAATTTTAATTTAAATAAAATTATAAAATTTTTTCATATAAAAATTTATTATATATATATGCGTTTTTTTATAATATATTAATATATTGTTTTTATTTTATAAATATTTAAATATTATATATATATATATAATATTTTTTAAAAATAAATTTAAATTATTTAATATAATAGGCAATGATATGAAAAAGATTTTATTTATTTATAAAATAAAATAAATTTAGAGAGATATTAAAAAAAAAAAAATTAAATCTGGATAAAAAAAAAATCTTAAATATATAAGACTTAATAAAATATTTAAATAAAATAATTGAGATTAATTATAAATTAGAATAAATAAATAGGTTTAATTAGTATTATTGAAAACACAAAAAATAAATATAAATTTAAAAAGTAATATCTAAATAAAATTAAAGATTTTTTTTTTTTAAATAAAAAAAAATTAATATTTAGTATATATTTTATATATTTTTATTTAAGTATTATATAATAATAACATTTAAAATAAATTTTTATTTGTATTTTTATTAAATAAAAAAATTAAATATATAAATAATTTTATATTAAAATAAAAAAATTTAATTATATGATAAGTAAAATCTAAATTAATATAAATAAATATATATATAAAAATATATTCAAAATATAATTAGAAATGAATATAAATAAATTTAATATATAATTGTATTTACATATTAATATATATATATATATAAATATATATATATATATTTATAATATAAAATATTATACTTATTTATATTATATCTATTTATTTTATTTAATTTTTTTTATATATATAATTTCATTTATATTAATTATTTTTTATATATTTTTTTTTTATATATAAACTATATTAATAAATAAAGATTTTTTTTTTTCCTATATGATCTTTTTATTAATAAATTTATACAAAAAAAATGTTTAAAGTATTATATAAATATATATGAACATATAATATTTTTATTTATAGATACATTAATATATAATTTTTGTTGTCTGCCATACTAAGGTGATTACACCGAATCCCATTCCAACTCCGAAGTTAAGCGCCTTAAGGCTCTTTTAGAATTAAGTTGGGGGACCGCTTGGCAAGTCCCATTGTCTACAGCCCATATATATTTTTTTTTTATTAAATATTTTAATTATTTAATTTTGATAAAATATGCTTATATATATATATATTTTTTTTAAAAAAATATTATACTTATTTTTATTTTAAAAATTATTTTTAAATTTATTTATATATATATAAAATAATTTAATAAAAAAAAAATTCAATCTTTATCAAATTCTTTTTCTTATAAAAAAGGAAATGCAGGATAAAATTAATTTTCCTCAATTAAAAATTATGCTGTTTATTAATATTAAGCTAAAACATGATTATAATTTTATGTTTATGCCATATTTTGCCAATTCGGATAATTTTTATCTAAATAATCAACATATCCATCACATACATTTAAACTAAAATTCGCAAAAGGAAGTCTTTAAATATTTTTAACATCTTTGTTTTTCCAAACTTCTTTTTAATATAACCTCCTTGCTTATTAATGATATAAATAAGTTTTTTTTTCATCTTTATTTGCCATCATCATCCAGAAATCACAAAAAGGATGTCTATAATTATTCGTTACTTCTAATTTTTCGGAATTTTTCAAATGATAAACTCTTAATCCGAAAAAAGTTTTTTAAATATAATAGCCTTTTTCTTCAAATTAGGTTATTATTTCTAATATTTTCTACTCTTAATCTTAATAAAAGCATAAATCTATATCATCATCCCATGGAATCAATCCTTTATGTCTTATTATACCCAATAAAGTTCCCCCATTTACCCAATAATGTATTTGATTTTTCGTTAGTATTTTGTCTATATCATATGCCAATTTATATACACGCTTTACTGTAGTAGAGTCAGTGAAATATTAGTTTATTTTTTTCGAGTTTTCGGATTTGTATTTCTTGTTCTAATGGTTCTTGGAAAAAGGTATCTAGGGAAATTTCTACATCCATTTTTTTATTTTTTCTTTTATTTATAATCTGCGATTTTTTTGTTAAAATTATATTTATATTTATATTTTTTTTTTATAGATTTTTTTTATTTTTAAATATGCTTTATTTTATCAATAAATCTATAGGTTTTATATTAATTTGAAACATATATATTATATCGTTTTTAACGATAAAATAATCAAATATAATAATAATTATGAAACATATTGTGTTTAAGAAAAAACTTTATATTTTAATTTAATAAAAAAATTGAATTAATATTTCTATATTTTTTGAAATATATATAATATATGTTATAAAAACATAAGATTAATATTTAGAAACAATCAAACAAAGTAAGTATAAACTTCCAAAAAAATAGTAAACATCATTTTTTCTAATATTATTTCCTATAATCCTAACATCCTTTTTACATAGATTCAACCCATTTCGGTGGTTATCTAGCCGCCATATAATTAACGACATATTTTGGTACAACCCCTTTGACATCACTTTAAGTCATAATAGTAAGCTAAGTATGTTATCCTACTGGTCTAATTACATATCCTGCTATATAAGAATGTGCTCTAATAAATCCTTTTTTTTCAGGCTAAGATGAATGCTATATACTAAAAAAGGCGATCGTAATCTATCCTTTTTCGGGATAATCTCTTTTGAGAATCCTCTATTAGACAAAATCTCTTTTAGTAACTCCTAAACCTGGGTCGACGAAAAAATAAATTACATCAACACCTTCTGATATAGTATCTAAGACTTGGAAACCTTGGGTTACTTTATCCCATTATGATCTTATTTTAGCATTATAGATTTAAATGAAAACTTCTTCAGAAGTACAATTTTCAACATAAGCTTCACATCGGACTAGTACACAGGCATTTCCTGGAGTCATTTTTGTATATATGCCTACTGTTTCGCCTTTTTTCATTACTTTTTCCCATTAATGTTTGCTGTCTTCGGGATTTTGTTATACTAAAGTGACAAGTTTTAGGAAAATGTTAGTTCCATTGTCTTCGGAGATTTTGCTGTCTTCTATTTTTCGCTTGGAAATGCTTTTTTTAATTTCAATTTGGATGTCTTCTTTGTTTTCTAAGTCGTCTTTAACGGTTTATTTTTCGGGTTTTTTTTGAACTTCGTCATCGAATTTTATTAATTTATTATCAAAGGAGTTCATTTTTAAGAAGGTCCTGCCTTCGTTCCTTTGGAAGGATTTTCTGGAAATTTCAGAAGGGGATTTTTGATCATTATTAGTCTCTTAGGGATTATTATTAAATTGGTATTATTTTGAAAATGCACATTTAGAGGATATAGGGGATTTAACACTATCATTATCAATGTTTTTTTTGGGAACTTGGTCGGAAAAAACAGCTTGTTGCTGAGTATTTCTTTTCTCAATAATGGTGTCTTTAGGTTAGAAAATTTTCTTTTTACTAAAATAGACGGCGTTTTGCCTTGAATTTTAGCTTATTTTTTCATCTATGTTATTGTTGTTTTCTTCTTCTATTTTAATTTTTTGTTCTTCTTGTTCTATTATATTTATATATAAATCAATTAATCGGCCTTATTTTTCGTTTTTGGAATCATTTTCGTTGCTATCTTTTTGCTAATTATCTTTATTTTGTTCGTTTTCCATTAAGTTTTTAAATTATTCAGTGTTAAAAAGCCTTTCAAAGGCTTTTATATCGATTTGTTTATCAAGTTATTTATCTAATTCTTATATTTATTAGATTTAAATTTGTTTTTCTAGGTTTATAAAAAGCTCTTATTTGTCCAAAATTTACAATATTTTGTAATTTTTGAGTAATTTTTCCATTTTGAATCGAAAAATTTACATTTAATGACTTAATATTGAATAATTTTCATTAAGAATCAATAAAAGAGGTGATAGAACGTTTAAATAAATATCTAAAAGTTCCATTTCATCCTATTAAGTGAATTTTTCTTTGGAAAAGATGATAATTTTAGTTAGTTTATATGATAACCTCAGTGTTTTCAAACAATATTCTTTTTCGAATAATAAAATAGCTTTTTTTTGGACTTTAATAAGCCCTTTTTGGAATTATACTCTAAAATATTTTTAAAAAATAATAATCTTTAACTCTTGGATTATTTTTTCAACAAAAAAACGGTATGTATTTAAGTCATTTTTATATATTTTCATACTTTCATATCCAAATTGTATTAAGCATTTTAATTTTAATTAAAATAAATCATTTTGTAATAATTTCTTGTTTGTGATTAATTTCTTCTTAATTTTTCGACCTGCATACTGTCCGATAAATCCACCAGCTATAGCACCTGCTATTAATCCTATTGGGTTTAATCCGGAAGCTAGAAAACCTAAAACTCCTATAACTGTAATACCTATAAAACTACCAACAGCACGCTTATCTTAGACATTACTACCTAATAAGGATGTATTTATATCTTATTCAAATTATTTTAATAATAATTCGGAAGGACGGTATTATTTAGATTATAAGATATGTTAGAGATATGATTTGTCGGTTTTAATTATATCTAAATTATTTTATACGATTTACAAATCTAAATTTTTAGTTTTAGGTTTCTTCTTTTTTTCAGATGAAATAAAATAATTTTGATTTTTTTTTTATTTCTTTTTTTAAGGCGTTGGTGTGATTATCATAAGACGTTTTTTTTTTTTAAGATAAATAATCCTTTTTATACTATTTTTTATTTACTTTATTAATGAAAGGTTTTTTTAATATATAATTATACATAATATTAAAATTAATAATTTTTTTATATAATTTATAATTAATAAAATATAAGATAAACATATATATATATATAAATGTATATATATATATAATATATATATATATATATGTATATATTCATATTTGATTTTATATATATTTTTTTTTTTGCTTTTTTAAAATATTTTTTTTTTAATAGTCTATTTTTATTTATTTAATATATATTTTAAATACAAATATATTTTATCAAACATTTTTTTTGAAAATATATTTACAGATTATTATTTAAAAAAAAAGTTAAAATTTCCTTTAAATTCAATTCTATTCTTAGATTAAAAATAATATAAAATAAATTTATATTTTTTTTTTATTTTTTAATATTCATTATAAAATATTTTATTTTTATTCTTTTATTATAATCTTCTATTTTTTTTGTTATTTTATTTTTTTATATAATTAAATACATCAATTTTAATTGTAAAAAATTATTTTTTTTTTATTTTTTTTTACATATAAGTATTTTATTTTATTGAAAACAATAATAGTTTAATTATGTATTATTAATATATTTTTTATTTTTTCTTTAATAAATAATTTTTTGTTCATATATGATATATTTCGATAAAAATATTATTTATTTATAAATAATTAATGCATTTTTTTTTTTAAATTATAAATAAATATAATATATAATTATCGTAAATAGTTTTTTATTATTTTTCAAATGAAATTTATTTTATTTTATAAAAATAAATAATAATTTATGTTAATAATTTTCTAAACTTTTAAATAATGTTTTTAATTTAATAGTATATTTATTATTATTATTTTCTCACTAAAAATATTAAAATGACATTATTTTAGAATAAAATGCATTATTAATTTTTTTAAAAAATAAAAGAAATAGATAATTTTAAAAATTTTAAAATTTATATGTTTTTATTATATATATATATATATATAATAAATAAATATTTTTTATTTATTTTTACTTATTAACATAAAAAATAGTTTAATTATTTTTATTTTATTTTTTTTCATTATTTTTTAAATTATAAAACTACACAAAAAAATCCATTCATATCAAACTCTTCAGAAGGAATACATTCGAAATGTTTTTAATCTTTAATTTCTAAATCAAATTATTTACAAAACTTAACAACTTACTCCATATTTTCCTATAAATATAAAACAATATTAAAAATAAATAAAATAAAAGTACTTATTTTATTAAAGATTAAGTTGAATAAACAATTTTTCCGTCTTTTTTTAAAAATTTAACTGCGTCAGTAAAAATTTATTATTATTAATTTATAAAATATTTTATGGTCTAGAAATTTATTTTATATTTATAATCTGGATTTCGTCTTAAATTCCCACTCTCAGAACATGGCACATCACACAAAATCCAATCAAATTCCCTATTTTTTATATCTTATAGTTTATGCTTATATTCTACATTTTTAATTTATATTTTCTTAAATCTCTCTTAAGCTTTTTTTAATACTTATTCTCTTGGATCATATAAGCAAATATTTCCAAATCCTTTTAGATTATGTGCAAAAGCCAAAGATTTACTTCCTGCTCCTGAACAGAAATCCAAAACCTATTATCCGGGTTTACAGTCTATTTTCAAAGACACGATTTATGTGGATTCATCTTAAACTTCGAAAAATCCTTCTTTAAATTCTTTTAAATCTAAAAGTTTGAACTTTTTTTATTTAATATTTTTGTTTTTATTATTAAAAAAAAAAAAAAAACACGTTTTCTTTAGGTTGTTCTAAAAATTTAATTCCTAAAGGAGAAAATTTAGTTTCTTAAAGTTTAAATTTATATTTTTTTTCTAGTTTTCCATTAATTATTTTCGGCTTATTTTAATATATTAACCCTTAAAATCAAAGGAGATCTTTCATTTTAAAATTTGCAAATTTAAAAAGCTTTATTTTCGCCATGTGTTTATGCTAATAAATTAAATAATTCCTTTGGACAACTAGCTCTTACATTTAATGGAAGAGATTCATTGTCTTTTAGTTTTAAAAATTTTTCTGTGTATAATGTATCTAATCTTTACTCCCATGTGATTGGCTTTGCTGTTATGGCATCTAAATACGGTTTATTTCGAATTAGTTTATATACATTATCTTTGAAAATATTTGTATTTCCTATTTATTGGTTTTTGTGAATGTATTCACGGATTTATTAATCTAAAGGCTTTGCATATAAGTGTTTTTGTAACATTTATTAATGCCATTAATCGCAAAATTTGGATATTTAAAGTTTTAATTATTTGTTAATCATTTTAGGAAGTACTTTTAGTTGTTAAAATATTTATTATATATAAGTATAAAAATATATATATTTTTAATAATTAAATTTTTTATTTAGTTTTGGTTTTGGGTTTTTATTTTATATAAAAAAAAAAAAATATATTTAATTTTTATTTTATTTTTTTCTTTCAGAATCTTTCATGTTCATTTATTAAATTAGATGAAATACCAAGTGCAGTATCAGAAGCCCATTCTAGTAGTATTTTTTAAATAGGTTCTCCATCCTTTTTAATATTTTTAATTTATAATAAATATATTTAACAAAAAAATATATATAATTAAATACAGGACTTTCAGCTTCAACAGTATTTTATTTGTAGTTTCCTGTAATAGTATTACCATTTTTAAAATACCATTTTCCTTTTTTTTTTTTTTTTTTTTTAATTTTAATAAAAAAAAAATTTTTTTTTTTTTTTTTTTATTTAAAAAATAAAATAATTACCTGAACCAGTAGGTTTATTATTTTCGAATTTCCCTTCAAAATAATTACCATTTGGTAAAATCCATCGACCTTCAACGCATTTATTTTCTATCCAAGTACCTTCAATCTTTTTGTTTTAAAATATAAATTTAAATAATTTAATATTTTTATAAAAAAATTAATACCCTTTAATTAGTTGCTGCATAAACATAAGTTCCTTTTCCGTTTTTTTTCCCAAAAGCCCACCAACCTGAATATACGTCTTTATTTGCATAAGTATATATACCTTCTCCATGTTTTTTTCCGTTCTCCCATTATCCATAATAAGTTTCGTTTTTAGCAGTATATGTCATTAAACCAATACCATGTTTTTTATTTAAATAGAAATCTCCTTCATATCTATCTGCTGGGGCTTCTTCGGGTCTTTTGTAAATATAAATACCTTTACCTATTCTATACTTTTTATTTATTTTTGCATTTTTGCATTTATTTATTTTTATATTACACCATCTTCATATTCTCCTTCATATGTATCTTCGTTTGGATATTAAGCGAAACCTCTTCCGTAATAGTTTCTGCTTGATTAACATATAGGTTATCCTTCTGGTGTGAATTTATATTGATTTTCTTCTTCGGACATTTTATGTATATATATATATATATTTTTATTTTAATAGTTATATAAATTTTATTTTTATATATATATTTTTTTTATTAGTTTTTTTTTTTTTTTTTTAAAAAAAAAAAAATGTTATTTTTTTATAAATATTATTTATTAAAAATTTATTTATAAAAATATATAAAAAAAATAAAAATTATTATCTTAAAATTCAATAAAAAATGTTATTATTAATGATTATTCTTTTAAATACTTATAAATTTAACTTTAATTAATTGTATCAAAATATTTTAAATTTAATAAAAATATATTTACTTTTTAGCTTTAGTTTTTTAATTAGTTATTTAGAATATGCAATATTAGAAGCAAACAATATATTTACAAGAAATAATATATTTTATTTATATTAAAATTTAAGTATTTTAAATTAAATATTTTGATTTTTTTGTTAATTTTAGATGTGATTATTACATTTAAAAAATATATTTTTATGATCATAGATATTATTTATTAAAAATTTTCAAAAATATATAGAGAGTCAACTTTTTAAACTAAAATTATATTGATTAATTATATATAATTAAGTAAATGTATATAATTAAAAGTAAAAAAAAAATATTTAAAATTACCAAAATATATAAATATTAGTTTTAATAAATTAATATATGTATAAATTTGTATTTATTTAAGTAAACTATATATTATTATATTTATTATACATTTTTTACTATAAAATAATCACAATATTAATAAAAAAAACTATCTCTATAAATAAAAAAATTAATAATAAAAATTATAAATATATAATTTGGCAAAAAAATGTAAAAAAATAAATACAAAAACAATTAAATAAAGTTTCAAAATCAAACATTAACATTAAAAGAAGAAATCGGACAAGGCGCTTATTCAAATATTTATAGCACGTCAGATTCAAAATATGTAGCTAAAGTGATAAATTAACAATTTGAAGCTGGCTATAGATCTTTTTTAAAGGAAAAAGAAGCCTATTAAAACTTAAGGGATCATCCAAATATATTAAAAAGCCTAGGTAATGCCGAGGTATCAATAAAAGAAGGAAAAATAGCAATTTTAATAATTGAAAACTGTCCTAAAGGTTCATTATTTAATATAATGGCTTAAACACCAAAACAATAATTAATGGAATAACAAATAATACGTATTATATATGAAATTAGTTAAGGTTTAAAATACCTTCATAGCAAAAATATAAGTAAAATTCATTTAAAATTAATATAAAATAAAATAAATAAAAAGTACATAGAGACATAAAAATCGAAAATATACTTTATGGGGAAGATAATAGTTTTAAAATATGCGATTTCGGATCTATTACTTCCCAAAAATATACCTAAATAAAAAATCATCCAAATTTAGAATTATTATAGGAAGAAATAGATAAAAATACAACCCCATAATATCGTTGTCCTGAATAAATAGATGTTATGTTGTATAAAGAAAGTAGTTTGGATGAAAAAGTGGATATTTTTGCACTAGGAGTGCTTGCATATATCTTAATGTTCAAAAAGCCTCCATTCGAATCAAAATTAGCGGCCATAAATGGACATTGTTATTGGCCAGAAAGTTGTTTTTTTACTGAAAAAATGGCAAATCTAGTAAAAAATATGTTAAAAGAGAATTCTAGTGAAAGAATGTCGGCTTAGGATGTCATTTTTTATATTGAAAAATAATTAAATTTCGAAAAAAACGATGGGATTATAGATCCAATGATTTTTTAGAAATAGAAACATGATGAATTAAAACCAGGAATTTTAAATAATTTAAAAAAAATAATTTTTTGTAAATTTACAGACACTAAAGGATGGAGTAAATTATATATATAAATGTATTATATATTTATATATATATATATATATTTTTATTTATTTATATATATATATATTATGATATATTTATAATCATATTTATCTATATTTAATTAATTATATATTTATATTTATTTATTTATATATTATTTTTACTTTTTTTATAAGTTTTTGCTTCATTATAATATGACGAAAATGGGCCAAAATAAAAATACATAAGGAAATTATTAGTTAAGGCTTGGTAAAAACGTGAGAAAAAAAAGACTGATAAATTTTATTCAATTTTATTAGATTTTTTAAAAGAAAATCTAAATAATTAAATTATTGTTTTAAAAATATTAGTTTTAATACACAACTATTTAAAAAAAGGGCCTTAGGAAGCTATTTACATATCATATATAAGAAAAGTAGGTCCTGAACATATTTTATAAGAAATAAAAAGTTTTTATGAAGGTAAAGAAAGTTTAAATGGATCTATAAATAATTTAATAGTAAAATATTGCCTTTTAATGGAAAAAAAGATTACTTTACATAAAAAATATTTTGATTTTTTTGAAGGGAATTTTTCCTTAAATCCTTTTTTATAAAGCATTTCTATGAAATTTAGACCATTAAATCCTGTTTTATTAGAAGATTTATTAGTTTATATGTAAGGATTGATAAATTTTTCTAAAATTTTAATAATAAATCATTCTTTATGGAAAATATAGGTTAGTGTAGTTATTTCTTTGGTAGATGAAATGTATTGTTGTATAAGTTTATTTACACATTTATATAAAACATTTAAATAATCCACTAATTTTAATAGCTTTTAATATAATAAAAATTTGATTTTATAGAGTATTCAAGAACTCGATACATAATTTGAGTTTATATATTTACTTATTTTAAAGTTTTTTAAAAGATGTTAGTCTATTACAGATTCAGTTTTTTCGAGTATGGTTCCTAAAATGCCTTTAGAAGTTGTTTAATATATTAAAAATATAGAGATTTTAAATAATTCAATATAGCAATTTAATGTTTTTGATTTTTTAAATTACTCAGTAAATGTTTTTGGGCTTAAAATACCTTTCAGTTTTGGATATGCAATATTAGATGCTTGCAAGAATAATACAGAAATAAAGGAAGATGATGATACTAAGCTAGATAAAAAAAGATCTATTCCATAGTAGGATTAGTTTAATACTAGGAGAGAGAAAATATTAGAAAGTTAAGAAGGGATATTTTTTAATTCGAAAGGTTATTTAAATATCTAAAATGATGAATAATAAAAGAATATAGATTAAAAATAAAATGAGAATGATGATTTAATATCATAAAATAATTAATAAAAATAATAATAAACTTATAATTTTTAATAATAATAATAAATGTAAATATAATAATAAATTTATAATTAATAATAATAATAAAAACTAAATGATAAATAAAATTTAGATATATTTAATGACTGGAATTTTTAAGAATATTAATATAAATAAAAGGATTAAGAAATTGATGTTTTTTAATAATTTTCTCATCAAGTTATTAATAAAGGAATATCATAAATTAAACATAACGATTTCTAAAATTAATAAACATAAAATATAGAAGATTTATTTAATTTTTAAGATTAAAAGGTAATGTAAGATTCTTTAATTAGAATTAAAAACAATTAGCCTGTAGATTAATTTCTTGATGAAATATTTTAGGATATATAAAATTAATTATAAAATAATAATAATAATCAATAAAATAATAATAATCAATAAAATAATATTAATAATTAACATTAAAATGAATATTAAATTAATAATAATCAATAAACACATATAGAAAATAATATTATAATAAAAAATAATATATAAAATAATAATAATTAATAAATTTCTATATAAAATATTCAAAATTTATAAAATAATATTAATTAGAATTAAATAATATTTAATGATTTAATTAATAAAAATTTTTAATAAAATTAATATAATGATTAGCCTTAAATTGTTTAATCATATATAACCTAAAATTTTAAGTAATGAGTAAATATTCGAGTATGCATTTAAAAGCAAAAGTAAAAATAAAAAACATATTTAAGGATAAAAATATTAATATGGCTAAATTATAGATGAATAATTAAATATATTTTAATAAAATAATATTATGTAATAAATTTAATAATAAAACGATAATATATAATAAGTAGATTAAAATTAAATAATTAATTAAGATATTTTAAATTAAATATAATATAATAATAAAAATAATTAAAATGAAAATATATATAAAGAAAATACAATAATATAATTTGATTAATAATAAGAAAATAAAAAATTATAAAAAAAATAATAAAATGATAATTTATCAAATAATAATTAATAAGAAGAAAGATAACTTATTTTGATTAAGAATAATTAAATAAAAGTTAATAAATTAATAATTAATTGTAGATGCAACAAAATATATAGTAATAAATATTATAATAAGAATATAATAATTTAATATAATAATAACAATAATAACAATAATAAAAATAATAACTATAATAACAATAATAACAATAATAAATTAATAACAATAATAGCAAAATTAAGATAAATAATAATAAAAACAACAACAACAACAACATCAACAAAAAGAACAATAATAATAATAATAATAATAATAATAATAATAATAATAATAATAATAATAATAATAATTATAATAATTGTTAATTAATTTATAAATTTAATAATAAATTTCTTAATAATAAATATAACAAATAAATAATTAATAAAGTAATTTATAATCATATTTTCCTTAATAAGAAATATCTTAAAATATATAAAATTCACCAATAACTTTGAATTAACAATAATAATAAATTTAGTAAAATTAATAATCTATCTAGTTATAATAAGAATAAACTTAAATTTTGGTAAATAATTAAAGTTAAATTAACTAAATCTAAAATTAAGAACTAATAAATAATTAACAATATTTTTAAGAAATAAATAATAATTAATTAAATGAAAACAAATTATTAGAATATAATTTTAAAATCGCCTAATTTAACAGCGAAGAAGTATTAGAAGACGCCGATGAAGCAAAAGTTTAATTTATAAGTATTAATATATAAAAAAAAGACATAAATGAAATTCACAATGATTAATTATAAATATAGTATTAACAGTTAATTTAATACTTAAAATAACATACTAATAATGAAGATTTTCTCAAATATATTATTAATATGTAAGAAGTCAAAGTCGAAAAAAAAATTGGATCTGGAAATAGCTGTGAAGTTTTTTAAGGCATCTTTCGAAATAAAGAAGTTGCAGTTAAAAAAATGAAACTCGATAATATAGAAATAGTTCATTTAAAAGAATTTTAAAGGGAAATTACGGCTTTAGTTTAATTAAATTAAAGCGAATATTTAGTTAAATTACTAGGTATAAGTTAGTTTGATAATTATTTTTATATTATTATGGAATTTTGTGGAGGTGGAACACTTTTTGAAGTTTTACATAAAAAAAATAAGGAAATTAAGTTTATTCCATGGGAACATAGGCTTTTTTGGCTTAAAAATATCTCAGAAGGAATGAATTATTTACATTAAAATAAAATTATTCATAGAGATTTAAAATCATTAAAGTATATATTTTTTTATTTTTAAATAAAAAATATAATACATATAAATAGTCTTTTATTAGAAAAAGAATATAACCCAAATGACAAAATACCTCCGGTTCTTAAAATTGCAGATTTTGGATTAGCTAGACCTGGAAACAGTACAGAAACTTAACATATGACTGGTGTTTTGGGAACTTTTGTATATAATAATATATTAATTAATATTTAATATAAATTATAATATATTATTATTATTATTATTATTATTATTATAATTAATATTATTATTAATATTATTATTATTATTTTTATTAAAAAAAGCATTGGATGGCGCCTGAAATTATGAGAAATTAATAATATTCATTTAAAGCGATGTCTATTCTTTTTCTATTGTTATGTGGGAGATGTTCACTAGAGTTACACCTTTTAAAGAATGTTAAAACGTTGCAGCTATTATTAGTAATGTTACTAATAATGGAAGACCTGATTTAAAATTATTGCCTTTTGATGTTCCTTATAAAGTAATTTTTCTTTTTTTTATTAAAATTATTTTTTTTTATATATATGTTTAACAAAAAAACAAAGTTAAAAGAATTAATGATTTTGTGTTGGTAAGAAAATTAAGATAAAAGACCTAAATTTGAATAAATTATTTAGTTTTTAAATCATGAGAATATTTTTTTAAATAAATGAAGGTATTTTACATATTTTAATTTATTTATTTTTTTAAAAAAAATATATATATATATATATATTTAAATATATATTGCGTATTTTTCTTTAATTAATCTTTTTATAAAAAAAAATATTTAAAGTAATATTTATATTTATATAAATTATTTTATCTTACTTTTTTTTCTAATGAATGAAACAAAAATCATATTTTGACTTTAAAAGTTATTATTAAGTATTAAAAACATTAAAAGGTTTTAAATAAAGGAGAAGTAGTTTGTTCCTTATTTATAAAACCAATAACTTGTTTACTTATAACTTTATTAAATTATTATTATTCTAAAATATATTAATGGAAAATACTTTTGCCTGTAAATAATTTATAGATTTAAAGTTATAAAAATCTAATAAATATAAAATTAAAAAATATAATTTAGATATAACAATTATAATTTATAATAGAACACTGAAAAACATTAGAAAAATATTATTTTTCAGGCAACATAATATATATTTCAAATTATTAAATTGAAAAAGAGGAATATTTAATAATAAAAACAAAAGGAATCTCGTTATAATGATAATACACCCCCCATCCGATTAAAATATTAAAGGAAAGACATTAAAAATGATAATTTAGAAATATTTAAAAATTATATAATTTAAATATAAAATAGGAATAAAAAGTATTATTTAAAATAAAAAATAGATTATAAAGTAAAAATAAATTTTGAGGAAAATCCTATATTATTTCTATTAAAAAAAAGCCAGTAAAATTAATAATTAATATATTAAGCTCTATTTTATTATTATAAATATATATTTTTTATTAAAAATAAATATTGAGAAATCGTAATTAAAAATGCAATATGAAATCAAAATTATTTAATATATTTTTATTTAATATAAAATTTAAACAAATTAATATTTTTAATCTTTGTTTTTGTTTCTCTAATTTTGTATTTATTTTTGAATAATTTAAGCATTTTTTATAATAATTTTTTTGTTAAAAACATAAAAAAAAAGGCGAGAAAAATGTATATTTTTTGATTAAATTTAATAAAAAATATATATGAAAAAATTTATAATCAAATTATATAATAGTAAATAAAATAAAGATAATTATAATATATATAAATAAGAAATTAACTAAAATACACTTTTAATAAATAATTTTGAATTCCCAATCATATATATAATAATAAATACAAATAAAATTTTAATTTATAAAATATTAAATAAATATGAGTTAAATATTTTCAGATTAATATATTGGAGTTGAAAAATATAACGAAATATATTAATCATAAAACCAAAACTAAAATACAAGCAGTAATTTGAAAATCAATAAAGAAGCAATACAAAATTCACAAAGCAATAATTCTAATAATCTAGTTGATTTTTTAAGTAGTAGTTATGAAAATTCATTTGAATAAAAATGTTTTGCTAATGAATAGATAATTTAATAAAATACAAATGAAATAATTTCCTGTAATAAATGTAATTTAATACCCTAATAATATATAG